CCGCGGGGGGGGGGGGGGGGGGGGGGGGGGGGGGGGGGGGGGGGGGGGGGGGGGGGGCAGGCAGAGAGCAGCTCGGCAGGGATAAGTTTAAAGATTGCAAGAGGAGGCATTGCCCTGATGGCGTCGTCGCGCAGCGAGAAGCCTCCGCTGGGAAACAACGGGGGAGGGAAAAAAAAAAAAGAAAAAAAATAGAGGAGAAAAACAAGGCCCCCCTGGAGCGTTCTGAAACCGCGCGTGTGTTGGCCAGCCTGCCTGTGGGACGGTTCTATCGCGCAGCAGCCCAGCTGACAGCCCAATCAGCTGTAACCGTACACAAAAGCGTCGTCCAACAGGTCCGCGCGAGAGGCTCGGCGCCCCGAACGACGAAAACCGAACGAAAACCGAGCGAGCGCGCGCGCGCGCGCCCGAACATACACAAAGAAACGTCGACAGGCTAATTTCGGTGGCATTTTCGCAGTTTAATTAAAGATCGAAAGAGAGAGAGAGAGAGAGAACGAGCGCCGTTTATCTCTTCCTTCGTTTCCGAGGAGAATAAGAAACGCGGCCGACCGCGACGACAACACGCTTGTACACCAATAACAGTTACCCGCTAATTAGATCTAATTACCGTAGGTAATTCTTCGTTTGGTAAAATTCGTACCACCGGAGATGCACGGTGATGATACACGGCAACCGTAAAAAACGTTCGCTCGAGAGAGAGAGAAAGAGAGAGAGAAAATATGTGTGTCCCGTCCGAAGCTGCTTAATTGAACGACATTAATTACGGCACTGTACCTGGAAATAGCTGCGAGTGGCTCGATGCACAAGTTGCGTGCGCGCTCGTCGGGATGTGAATTAATTCGTGTACGGAAATCCCGTGGTCGCGTTCATTAACCGTATTCACTGAACGTCTGAGAGAGGCGTTCATCGCACGCGCTGCGCCGATCGAATGAGCGTTCCCTGCGCGCCCATAGCAACCGAACAAGGGTTCGCACGTTTGAAACCCCAGAAATGACTTCGCCGGAAAGAAAAAAGGGAGAGAGAGAGAGAGAGTGAGAGAGAGAGAACCAAAAAAAAAAGAAAAATCAGAGAGGCAAGGAAAAGTCGAGACGATGTTCGTAGGCGAAGCACGTGTGTATTGGCAGCAATGCTGGTCGGGAAAACAAGCGACAAACATTTGTCGCGCCCGGGGCACGCTGGTCTAGGCGCGACGCTCTCTACGCCACTGCAACTTAAATAAACACACACTGGGAGAGGAACCAAGCGCGGAGCAGCAGCAGCAGCAGGCAGCGGCAGCAGCAGCAGCAGCTTCGAGTTTAGTTAATTCGGGTCATCGTCCTTCGTCGCTCGTCGTCGTGCATATTTAATTTTCCATGTAAGCGTCCTGACGAAGACGAAGACGACGATCACGACGACGACGACGACGACGGATGTCGCTTTCAAAGTGAATCGCCACACATCAACAAGCGCGCTCCGTGCGCATCCACACGCGTCGCGTTCTCGGTCTATTAAATTCGAAAGGCGCTCCGTCGGGCTCCGACTCGAGAAACCGTGGTCGAATTACGATCGATAGGTGGAAGGAAAATAGATAGACCGTCCCCGCGAGCCGTTCCCCCCTCCCCCATGGACGAGGAAGAATTTCAGCGAGTTTAGTGGCTCGGCTTCGCCAAATATTTACGATAGAAAAATCGATCGAGGTTTGGCCGTCGGAAACGCGGACGAGAAGAGCGTTACGTCAATTGCTCTCCGCCGTTGTCTTGCTTGCCGCGACCACACACGCGCGCGCGCGCGCGCTCGCGTGGTCTCGCGTAGCACAGAGTCACACAAAGGCACAACACACACACGCGCACACGGGACCACGTATATAGGGTTTTTCTTTTAAAAGGGATCTACGAAAAAAGAAACGCATCCGCGAAATTGTGTGCGCGCACTGGAAAATGCAATTAGAGTCGCCGATTGTTTTTACGACGCGGAGATGCGAATCAGCTGGTGCGCGAGTGTGTGTACAAAACACAGGAGAGCCAGCAGCGCGCATTATCTGGTGACATTGTCGGTTGGGTATCGGCGAGATTAATCGTTCCGAGCGACGCGTGTTACGATGTTGCCGCAGAAAACAAACGTTAATTTGTTTATGGGGGGGAGAGCGAAGCGCTGCCACTTTGAAAACAAGAATACAACGAAAATTTCACCGGGAATGATAAACGCAATTATACACCGTTTCTTCGGCTAACGAAGGTCATTAACACGATTACCGGAAATGAAACAAAAGAATCTTCTGTTTCTCCTAGGAGGTTATATGCACACGCATACGTACACACACACGCGCGCGCGCACGTACGTACGCACACACACACACGTGCGGACGTGACGACGGAGCCGTTCGATATGGCAGAATTTGCACTGTTACCAAGTGGAAAACTGCTAATTTGCGGTGTAGAATCGCGGCGCGGCGTCGAAGAAACGGAACGGAACGGGGGGGTGGGGGGAACGAACGCCGTGAAAATCGGTAGGAACCAATGTAACGGGAGAAACGTCGGGTGTAACGCCGCGAAGCGACGGCCCTGATCTTCTCTCGTGGAAGGCAGCTGACAGGCTCCCGTCAGCTGAGAGCGTACACAAAGTCCGATGCCGTATGCGCAGCTATACTTTTAATCATCTTGTCTCTCTGTTCCCCCGAGGAAGAGGTCGACGTCGCACGGAACCGAATCGTTCGTTCAAAACACGTAGAATCGTCGCACTTCGGATATCGGCTGTGGAAAAAATCGCGAGCCGTGTATTGCGTCGTTCGAGGATACGGATAAACACGGACGGCGAAACGGCCTTTTCTTGGACTGTGCTCGCGCGCGGCAACGCCGAAGAAAACGCGCTCGTGCGGCGGCCTGGTGATCCGACGCGAACAGAGAACCCGTCCGCCGAGCCACGGACAGCTCCGACAACAATCGCGAGACGATGCCCGATGGTAAACGGAGCCCGAACGCACTTTCTCGATCGTCTCGGCGGGCCGTCGCGATGGAAAAACGCTCGGCCGCTTGCGAAACGGTCGTCGGGGGATACGGCTAGCTCCGGCTGGCGTGCACACGGTGTTGTCAAAGGAAGGAAAAGAGCGCGTGCATAGAAAAGAGGGGTGCATCGTTGTCGAGGGGGTTTACGCACCTCCATATGCATCCGTGGCCGCGGCAACGAACGACGACGCGTGTCCTCGGCCTCTTCGATGCCTCGAGCCTTTGATCCCGGATCACGGTTCCCTCGTCTTCGCGAAATGCCGCAAACAACGACCACGACGACTCGTTTTGATCATCACTAACGCGAAACAGCCGCGTCCAGCGAGCACCGTACTGCTGATCGCCTCGGCGTCGTTCGATTTATTTCGGTTCGTCCGCAGGCGGGATGGTATACGTTGACCCGGGCGCATGCGCACCAGCCGCCTGACGTTCTCGCTCCGGACATCGTCGGCAGAGGTCGCTTCTGGCTGCATTTGTTGTGTCGCGCTTGCGGTAAGCGCCGAACGAAAACGATCCACGCGCCACCTACTGTAATTCGCTTCAGTTAGGTTAGGAAACTATGTACGTATGTATATATGTAGTTACTAGGATAGTTCTTTTTGTAGTCTTCTCTTGTAAAATAGGGGGACAAGTTGTATCAGTTGCGTGAAACACATCCGAGGGTACAGTTGAAAATGAAAAGTGACTCCAACAAGTAAATCAAGTCTTCTTCTTATTATTAGACGTCGAAACTAGCGTGGTCACCTCGAGCGGCTCTCCCAGCCCCGCTCGAACGAGGCCGCTACATTACCTTTCCTCATTTTCTTTTCTCTTCCTTTGCTACGTCACAATGAGCGCGAAACGCGCGGGAAACTTCGCTCCCTAAATAATGATCTTGGTTTTCGCGGTTATGCTAGCCGGCTGTCCGTTCGACAAACGCTGTCGAAACCTTCGGATAAATAACGATTACACGCAGACAAAATGTCTGAACTTTATTATTTTTCTGACTCGAGTTTGTAGGTGTTCCATTTGAATTCGAATTTTCCGGCGGCAACTTTGAATTCGTTGGCTCGATAGAATGATCAATATCGATCACAGAAATGAAGGTTAAAAAATACGTGAGAATCTGAATCAGAATTAAAAGTAATTCTGTTCTCGTTAAACAATGAGGTATTATTGTATCGATTATGATCACTTGATAGCTATAATAGAAATTTAAGTTTGATTTTTGGATTTTGAAAAAAAAGAGTCCATGAATTTGTAAACATATCCGTCTTCGGGGAAGTTCGGATATCGTAGTCGTGAGAATGAAAAGAAAAAGGCACGTTGAAGCTCGTCTTGTAATATTTCATCCTCGAACATCATTTTTGTCTCCTTTTTTTTCTATGAGCGATTTCTCGTCACGTGTAAATTGGGGACGACGCATCTCTCTTTCTCTCTCTCTCTCTCTCTCTCTCTGTACATATGTAGTTTCCATTCGGAAAAAAATCTGTATATATGTTAAAACTATATAGGAAGGCTACCTTTATTTTACTTCTTTCATTTCTTTGCGCAATTCTATTAGCTATTACATGTCTCCGACAAAACTATTACAAAAGTTCGCTATGCTGAGTGATTTTTTGTAAGAACATGTGAACGCCTTTCGCACACACGTATATATATATATATATATATATATATATATATATATCCGTCGGTCTCTCACAGGTATTATAAAGTAAAAAAGTCACCGTCGAGAATCGAGAAAACTATCATAACGAGAGAATAAGAAAAATCGAAACGACAAAACGCTCGTATAAAAGAAAAAAAAACCCAAAAAGGTGTTGACGATTCGAAAAAAAGAAAGAGTCGTTACGATGCAAAAAATCGTGGACCGCCTAGAAAATCTATTTGTACAGTTAAAAAGTTTTAGCGTCATTAGACATATTCCTTTTCTTTCCCTCTTTTTCGTTCTCTTCGTTTTTGCTTCCTTATATACTTACTACCTAAAACAAGACATATAAATTTCGTTATTGTACATGTTAAACTTTTATGATTAGATATTTCTTTACGTTTCTTTTAAAAAATAAAATCGTAAATCGTCCGATTTCTAAACGCTCCACTTTCCTGCACCTGAAATGTACACTCGATTTGATCCATTTAATGGAATAGAAATTTTGTAAATCCTCTGCGCGCTCTTAATCCTCTAAAAATTGTCAAACAAATTGCACGAATCTTGTTTAATGTTAAAACGTATGGTTCCAAAAATCGCCATTTCTTTTCTAACGGGCAGACCTATAATTTCTCGAATGCTCCGTAAATGCGCCCCGTCTGCCACCACCCTCTCTCTCCCTCCATTCTTAAATCATTCTACATAAAACTCATTTTTACCCAATCACTCACACGGTCAAACGTTTCTCTCGGTTTTTTCCTTTTTTTTTTTTGTCACCATACAAGCACAGCATGAAGGATAACAACAAAGCAGCAGTACATAAAGAAACATAATCTTTGTTTTATGTTTGTTTATTAATATTTGTTTTCTTATAAAGTGATGTCCTACTAATTAAAAAGTAAATGAAAAGAAAAAAAAAGAAGAAAAGAGTTCACCAAACGATAGTTAATATATTCAGTAAAAGTCGTCATCTCATTAAGGCAACTAATTTGTTTAGTTTCATTTTACATATCTAGAGTAAATGATATATAAAGTATATGTAAAACACTAATATATGGTTATTTTTATTTTCTTGTTACAAGCCTTACATATTTAGAATATAATATGTATACTTTGTATATATACTCTTGTAATAAAATTGATTACTTCGTATTCGATTCTAGAGATAATAAATATATCTAATGTGTAATGTTAGTACAAGAGAAGTGCGTGCAGAGGGTGGCAGCAGGGTGCGCATTTGGGAGTGCTATTGTTCCAGGGACCAACCAGTCCCCACTTTCTATATCGTCTCACATAGTGACATTTAACTGTATTGCTTTAGTGTCCACAGAGCACGCCTGTTGCTGCTGTTGCTGCTGCTGTTGTTGCTGTACCTGCTGTTGTACCTGCTGCTGTACCTGTTGTTGAACTTGTTGCACTTGTTGCTGTATCGCCTGTAGCTGTATTGTTTTTGTGTCAACCGTACACGTTTGTTGTTGCGGCTGTTGCGGCTGTTGCTGCTGCTGCTGTTGTTGCACCTGTTGCTGTTGTACTTGTTGTTGCTGAACCTGTTGTTGCACTTGCTGCTGTTGCACCTGTTGCTGTTGTTGCGCTTGCTGTTGCTGTTGTGCCTGTTGTGCGGCAGCCTGAGCAGCTTGCCTCTGTTGTTGCCGAAGTATGCTCGGCGGAGGATCCATGTGCTGGCGCTGATGTAGTAGCAAATGATTCTTTTGATAGAAGGCCTTGCCGCACTTATCGCACACGTGCGATCTTATGTGGCAACTGCCGTCCGTGTGACGCCGTTGATGCTGCGACAAACCGTGTTTCTGCGCGAACCCACGACCGCAATCGGGACAAATGTGTGGTTTTGGTTTCGGGCCTGTGCCCACTGGTGGCGATGTTTGCGTTGCACCGTGCATATGGCTGACACCGGGCGTTCCAATGGGACCATTCATCTACAAATCCAGAAACTGTAACATGCGCGTTCTGCGTTTTAGGCTGTACAAGATGCTGTACCTGATGTGTCGTCGACGTATTAGGAGTAAGGAAGTGTCCAGGAGTTTGCTGGAAGGCAGCCGCTAATCCACAAAGGTCAGTAACAAGCGTTCGATCACCAGAATGTAGCCTTAAGTGCAGAGTGAGGGCTTCTCGATTCGAGAAGTCCAATCCACATTCCCTGGAACAGTCAACAGCATAAACATATGAGAAAATTGTGACGCGTCCTCAAGATTCTCTTATCGTTTTGTATTTATCTTACCTGCACATAAGGGATTTCTCGTCCGTGTTCGTGTTATTGTTATGGATCTTAGAATGGGCAACAAGGTCGGATTTCCTAGGAAATGCTTCCCCACAAACAGTACACGCGAACGGAGTTTCTCCTGTGTGCAAACGCATGTGCGCTAATAGTGTTCTTTTCTGAAGAAATTCTTTTCCGCAAACAGTACACGAATGTGGAACTCTGCCATGCAAACGGCCGTGATTCACTAATTCAAACTTTCTCTGGAAGGTTGCACCACAATCATGACAAACGAAGGGATGTAAACTGCCATGGAAGCGCGAATGCATTGTAAGGTGATCCTTTTGCGAAAACGATTCTCCACACTCTTCGCAAACAAACGGTCTCTCCCCCGAATGGAATTTACTATGAGTCACCAGATGACGTTTTAGAGGAAATGATCTTCCACACTCTTGACAAATAAATGGCCGATCTCTCGTGTGTACTCTCGTGTGCGTTACAAGGTGATGCTTTAATGTAAAAGACTTTTTACATTCCCGACATTGGTACGGTCGATCTGCACTATGAAGGAGTAGGTGAGTATGAAGACAGTGTTTGTGAGCAAAACTCTTGCCACAATGAACGCAAACATGAGGTCGTTCCCCCGTGTGCACCCTCGCGTGCGTCGTAAGGTGATGTTTAAGAAGGAAAGACTTCCCACATTCTGAACAGGAATATGGCCTCTCTTTCGGAACACGGACTTGACTTCCCATATCTTGCTGCTGCTTCACCTTTGTTTCGATCTGCGTGGTATTAACATGCGTTAAAACATGTCCAAAATGAGCAGTGCTGTCCGTTTGACTCGTTACCACGTTATTCGCGTTGGCTTGATTCGAAGCAGCTGCTGCTCTCTTCATTAAAATTTCATTGCACTCTTCTGCCGTAAGTTGTAGTGGTCCGAGGGGAGTCATGAAATGCTTACTCATGGCATGCTTATCGGCGGTGGTAAAAACTAATGTGTTTGAGAAAAGCGACGGTGCGGGTGTTGGGTGTGCCGCGTCACAGTTGCAGCCTCCTTTGTCGCACGTTAATGAAAACACGTCGTGATGCTTTTTAACACGGACGAGGGTGCCGTGCGTTTGATTATGAGCTCCAGCTGTATGGCCGTGGTGCGTCGTTGGGGTCTGCTGACAGGTTTCATTCATTGTGAACATCGGTCTACGATGCGTACTATTGGTAATTTTAGGAGGCTTAATGTCAACCTGTATTTTCTGACTGGAACCTTGGTCTTGATTATTATTCACTGCGTAATTGATATTTGTCGTGAGTTCACCCTGAGCATTTTCCCGGGCTTCAGCACCTGGTCCGCCAAAGGACCAGGTATACCCAAATCCTGTGGCTACGTTACTAGGAGTGGTGCACATGTTTGACAGGGGGGTAACGGAGGGGGTGGGCTGGCTGGACGCGGTGCTCGTTGGCCCCTCCGTCTCTGTCAACGCATTGTCTGCACCACTTCTCTCCACTACAACAAATTGATCGGCGGGAAATATTTTGAAAGGTTCTAAATAAACGTACCCGTCACACTCCAGTATCTCGTCGTTGGGTTTCAAGATTGGGAATCATATCTGCATCGAGCAATACTTAATGCACAATAATATTGTTGCCAGTTTTATTGTCCAAGGGATCTGGCTAACCAGCATGCATGAAATAGCATGTGCAAAGTGGTCAACAACTGGTAGAGGTAATCATCTATGTCATAAAACTACTCCGTACACAACGTGTTCCCAAGTGTTGATTTGTCAAGCTTTGGAACACGCACAGTGTTTCAGGAGGTGAGGCGAGAGTGCTGAAAGAATTAGAGCAGGCGGCAGAGGGGGCCTGTGCGCTGTAAACCAGCTTTCCTAAATCTGCGGTCGTTTTCGTATAGTTGCCGCGCCACCGCGCGCCAATGGAAAAAATACGGTGGTCGCTGGACTTTCCTATGTATTAGAGTCTGTGAGTGATTTTTCGTTTCGGTCTACGAGCCAGCGGCGTCCACGGGTCTCGAACGACAACTTCCACCGTCTTCTCACGGCACTCCCACACGCTCACTTACACTTCACCTTCTTTCCGCGTATTTCGCGGCACTGAACCTATACTTTGACATACACACACGAGCAGCCGATGGTCATTAATTTTACAGAATTGCATATTTTATTGTCCATACAAAATAGCCTCATATATCGGCCATTTTATTTGTAAACTACCAAAAAACAATGCTGCCAATACACGCGCCGTTTTGGAGGGAGCAAACCTGGCAATATCGTCATCTAGCACTTCCGTACTGGCAACACTGAGCCGCCGACGCGTTCCTTCCACCATATTTAAATGTTCACAGGTTAAATTTACGAATTTATTGTTCTATCTTTCGTCGAATCTCCTCGAATGTTTCGCATTTTTCCAACGATCTTACGTGTCACGCTCATTTCCGCCACGGAACGTGATTTCCGATCGGTTCGAATGCGCCGAGAAACGCAAAGAAACGCGTCCAGGAGCGAGCAGTGTGTTTCATCGTTACGTCCGGTAACCTATAATTACAGATTCCATGGTAAACAAAATTCTTTCCGGACGAAAATGATCGATGGATGCAGAAACGTGTGCACAGGTTGCCGATAGTGTTGTCGTTACATTTCCAACCTCCCAGTGTCATACCGTTCCGTCGACATGTTCCTCCGCCGTTTCATCTCTTTCTCAGCCACAAACACAGTCGCACATGCGTTTCCCTCCAAAAACATTGGCGCACACACACACACACACACACACACACACACACACACACACGCGCGCACGCGCACACACACACACACACACACACACACACACACACACACACACGAAACTGATACGCTATCAGTGTACCTACATAATTCACCGAAGGTACCACGTGCAGAAAGGTGTCTCCACCACGAATCATCGACGTTGAAATGAAAAAAATAGCTCGTTGTTTTTTTTCACGTGATTTTTTTTTTATTAATACTTACGGTTTTCGGTGTTTATCGACTAGAGCGGTAGGCGCGGCGAGGGGAGTGGGGCGGGAGTTGCTCATTAGATAGGCCGTTTCTTATTATGTGTCACGTGCGCGAATACAAGTTCGATTATCAATGGGGAATTCGATATCACGTACGTGACATGTATTTACACGCTTGCCGCGGACGCGGTCGCTTTCATCGCATTTATGGCTGATACATATATCCGACGANATACCGTTCCGTCGACATGTTCCTCCGCCGTTTCATCTCTTTCTCAGCCACAAACACAGTCGCACATGCGTTTCCCTCCAAAAACATTGGCGCACACACACACACACACACACACACACACACACACACACGCGCGCACGCGCACACACACACACACACACACACACACACACACACACACACACGAAACTGATACGCTATCAGTGTACCTACATAATTCACCGAAGGTACCACGTGCAGAAAGGTGTCTCCACCACGAATCATCGACGTTGAAATGAAAAAAATAGCTCGTTGTTTTTTTTCACGTGATTTTTTTTTTATTAATACTTACGGTTTTCGGTGTTTATCGACTAGAGCGGTAGGCGCGGCGAGGGGAGTGGGGCGGGAGTTGCTCATTAGATAGGCCGTTTCTTATTATGTGTCACGTGCGCGAATACAAGTTCGATTATCAATGGGGAATTCGATATCACGTACGTGACATGTATTTACACGCTTGCCGCGGACGCGGTCGCTTTCATCGCATTTATGGCTGATACATATATCCGACGAGTTATGAGACGTGGGGGCATCTAGGTGGCACGGGGATAGAAATACCGACGTCGACGTTGCTCGGTTGGTCATCATCGACGCAATAAACGCGGACTCAGCAACTGATAAGCGATCCCGCGCGTTAATAGCTTCGCGCACACCGCTTGGCGCAATGCCAATGCGTACTTCCGGAATCGCAATCTTACAGTTATTAAATCGAACAGCGATCGCACCGTTTATTACGATTTTTCTCAGCTTGGCGCGTGTCGCACACGTGGTCGCACGCATTTCGCAAATACGATTTGCCGCATGAAAACCGAGAGTTTGGACGACGAAATCGACGTTAATGAAAATGTAATAAACCCGAATACGATACGTGCATCGTATAGCCAGTATGGATTCCATGACGTAATGAAGTGAAAGGATTATCGGCTGAATTAAGCAGAAAATGAAAAGGGAAATAACGAATAACGAGATAACTGCTTATTCATGGTGGAGAGGTTAATAATTACTTGCATCAAGGCTGTAATATACTATCCTTACTTTTTGACATTTTATGACTTTTTCAGTTCATACAGGATGCCTAACTTATTACTTATTATCCATAAGAAGGACAAAATGTTACAGAAAAATATGATTCGAAAGAAAGCTCGCTGTGGCGAGCCATCGATGTTGATTTTTTTTAAATTGGATTGTTACTTTCGTCAGCTCGGCTATCATTGTCAAGGTTATAATAATAATAATAATAATATATATAATAAGGTTATAATATAATATAATATAATAATAAGGTTATAATAATAATAATAATAAGGTTATAACGGATTCGATGACCTGCAGTGACACGAACCTCGTGCGACCTTGTGTTCAATGGTTATCTTCGTGTATTGAGAACTAGTAAAGAGCTCGAAGAAGAGCAAAATATAGTAAAAACTATCAAACAAGAGTAAATTAATACAAATACGTAAAATGACATACAAGGTGTCCTGAAAATGTCTCGCAATCCGAAAGTAGGGGATTCCTGAGGTCATTCGAAGCAACTTTTTCCTTAGCGAAAATGCGATCCGCGGCTTCGTTTACGAGTTATCAACGAAAAACAGTGACCAATCGGAGGCGAGATCATTCGGCGCGAGACGGCCTAGCCAATGTGCGGAACCGGGCTCCGCGCGTTCGTTGGCTGGGCCGCCGCGCGCCAGCCGAGCTCGCCTCTTATTGGACGGTGTTTTTTCGTTGATAACTCGTAAACGAAGCCTCGGAGAAAATTTTCGCAAAGGAAAAAGTTGCTGCAAACGACCTCAGGAACCTCCCGTGTCCGGGCCACCCTGTATATAAATATTCCACTTTCACTGTACATCGAACTATTAAAGAAAAACAATGCTTTTCAGATGTATCCGATTCTATACTGCGCGCCGACTTAACGAAGCAAAAATCCTTTTCGATCGAACATCGGACGAATCCGTTCCGAAAGCACGGCTACCATTCGAACGTTTCTGTTTCTCTCTATCGGCGGCTTCGATGCCTGTTGCCGGTGCGTCGGTCGAGGATTTTTTACCGACGCGACGATTCGCACGGATCATATCTCGTGGCTGACGAGATGATTAAAAAGACTTGCGTCCGCTTTAGCGTGGCGTGACCTCTTTTTGACACGGTAAATCCCCGCAGCTTCTTACTCGGCCCTTTCAGAAAAAAAAAGAAAAAGAAAAACGTTTGCCCACCCCATGGTTAACTGGCAAGAGCGCCTCGAGCTGTCTGCACGCGCACCTGCCGTTTACATCGCCGTGGCCGAGGCGAAGAGTTTTCTTACCCGCGCGACGAGGACTTGTGCCCCCTTGATAGATGCATAACTCTTCGCCGAGCAGAAGAGAGCTTCGCGTCGCTGTACCAAAATAACGTCCCGTTGCACCCGGAAGCAACGAATTCTTTAAACAACCGTCCGTTATCGTTCACGTAAGACGATTAAACCTATCGTAGATGAATCGCGTTGAGCCCATTGAAAACAGTCGCGTTTCCAAGCATCTCGGAGCTTCCATAATGCAATCATTTTCTATTTACGGTAATGTCTCCCTAAGTGACGCCGAAATTGTCCACAAAAATGAACAATTTGGAAAGAGGAGATTATTCAAGCCTTGCAGCTCGTTTTTATAATTGTTGACAATCGATAACCATAAAAATCGAGCCACAGGGCTCGAACAATCGCATCTCCTCTTCCCTAAATTGTCCATTTTTGTGGACAAACTGAGCGTCAATTAGAGAGACATTACTGTACAGTAATGTCTCTCTAATTGACGCTCAGTTTGTCCACAAAAATGGACAATTTAGGGACTGTCTCTTATACACATCTAGATGTGTATAAGAGACAGGCTCAGATCACAGTAATGTCTCCCTAACTGACGCTCAGATTGCGTACAAAAATGGACAGTTTGGTAAGAGTATCGTCTTCGGCGTGCTTTCAGAGGATATTTCTCATGCTTTCACACTCGCGCAGGCAACCGAACAGGTCGGGAAACCCCTTGCCGGAGCAGCTCCGTTGTTTGTTCGCTGATTAGCATGCAGTCTCGTTCCTGGCTAGGTGTCGGAGCACGAAGGACGCGTGATGCGACTGCAGTTGCGTCCACTATCCGGCCTCGGGATGCATTTCTCGCTGAACAACGGGAACCCGGAGCTACGTTTCTGTTCAAGAAATAATCTATTAAATGCTGTATTAATATATAAACACATAAAACACTTTTATATGGAATATAATATAATTATAAGTCACACACACACACACACACACACACACACACACACACACACACACACACACACACACGCACACGCGCGCGCAACCTTCATCAATATTTTCTACCACAGGCGGCGACAGGACGTTCATATCAGGCTTCTCTATTCGAAGTATCAGGACTTCTGATTATTCTAAACGTAGTAGAACATTACTATCAGTGGACCCGGTGCGTTTATGCGACTCGGCTCGCTACGGCGAAGACAATTGATTTGCTTCGATTCGGTAATTTAGCCGTAGTTATCGCCGCAGTATTATCCGGCCATAAACTTTTGCCAGGTTTAGACGACGACGACGACGACGACGACGAGGAAGCCCAGGGTCGTGAACGAGGAGATAGTCGGCGCTGCAGGTCCGTCGTTCCTCGATAAATAATTCCCATAAAGCTTGGTCGATAAATCTCGGCCGACAAGCAGGAGCATCGATGAAGCGTTTCCGTATCAGGAGACACGGGGACACGTCGGTGCCACGATTTGTAAGACAAATGCGTTCCTCATCTAACCATCTGTTAAGTATGTTTCGCTTGCGCCGATACGTTTGAGCGCGCGACGATCGAGGGTTACGGATCGCCGACGATGCGTAGCCTTCACCATGCTGTTTCCACCACCCCTCGCTCTCTCTCTCTCTCTCTCTCTCTCTTGCTCGCACGCTCGCTCGCTCGCTCTCTTCCCTTTCTTGCTCCGTCTCTCTCTCTCTTTCCTTTTTTATGAGGAGGAGACAGCATAGAGGCAGGGAAGAGAGCCGAATCCTGAGGCAGTGGACCGTGAATGCGATACCAGGTCTGCCGTTGGTACGGCATGGGGGTGGTGCCGTCAAACAACCGTTTGTCGACCATCCCTTCATGGTGCAGTCTCATCCTCGGCAGGTCAGCCGCGATTTCTGCGAATCAATTACGCCGTTTGTAGCTTCCAGTGTCGTGTCGGTCTGCTGCTTTTCAGCGTTTTCTTCCGGCTCTGACTACCACCCTCTCGGTCACCATGAAATAAAGCCTCGCGCGTTTTTAGAATATAGTAATGTCTCTCTAATTGACGCTCGGATTGTGCATAAAAATGGACAATTTGGGAAGAGGAGATGCGATTATTCGAGCTTTTAGGGTCGTTTTTATAATTGTGGACAATTTATTACCGTAATAATAAACCGCAGGGCTCGAATAATCGTATCTCCTGTTCCCAAATTGTCCATTTTTGTTGGACAAGCTGAGCGTCAATTAGAGAGACGTTACTGTGTGCACTAAAATAGACAATTTGGGAAGAGGAGATACGATTATTCGTACTCGTTTTTATAATTGTGGACAATTTATAACTATAATAATAAACTGCAGGTATCCTCGAATAATCGTGTCTTCTGTTCCCAAATTGTCCAGTTTCGTGCACGATCTCTGCGTCAATTAGGGAGAATTTACTGTACATACTCGAGTCTAGAAAATAATAATGTTACAGGGATCGCTCGGACGCAGAAAAAGCAAGAACAAAATTCAGAAAATATAACAACACCAGGAGATAGAAACAGACAAAAATACAACCTCGAGATGATGTTTTTCCCAGGAGAATCCTGTAACTTACAGGAATAACGATTCGGTAGATCATCATTAAGCCGATTCCGAATCATGCTAGCTGCGGAGAAGGGTTGAAATAGGGGTATCGGGGTAGAAAATTTCTCTTTCTTCCACTAGCCCCCAGGAGGGAGGGGGAAGAGTTTCAGGATTTTCGTCCTGCGGGTCTGGAGAATCGCTTCCGGCCGTTCCTGCCCCCTTGACCGTTCCGCTATACTTAACCCCCTGGGTCTTTGGGTCACTCGAAGTGTCCTTTGTAGCTTCCCGGTGAGTCTTGACACCTCGTCGAAGTCCTCGAGAGCCTTTCGACAGAGAGAAAAATGAAAAACTCGTTTAGTGTACGTTAAACATCTGGTTGGCGGAGTAGGTAAGGTGGCCGGCTACGGAAACGCTAGCTTCGGGTTCGAATCCCGGCGGAGACAGAAAAAAATGATGTATACATTATATAATAATAATAGCAGAACGCGTGACTGTGAACCAGTTCTAAAAAGTGTTCTTCAGGAACTTTATAGAAATTTTAATGCAGTTCAATAACAACTCCACTTGGTTAATAACAACTCGCATGTTCAGCGTTTCTTTAACAAAACAAACAACACAGTAGTAGAGTCCTGTCGTTCCAGAAACAGAAAAAATGGACCAACAAGGTTATATTATGGTGCTCTCGCTCGCTAATGTTTACATCATATCGCTGTCTCTGTGTTACTCTCTGGTTGGTATATTCTCATTGGAACGTATTTGTTTACAATCTCGACGGCGGAGCAGATGACAGAAGCCGATAACAACACAGCCTATGCAACCCGTTATGCAACAGCGTGAACGATGATGAGCCAACGCAGTCGGGCGCATTCTCAAAGAATGCGGACACGTGTCGCGCGCTTATTGTTTAGAAAAAGGCGATACGTCGTCGCTCTCTCTCTCTCTCTCTCTCTCATAAAATGCAAAGTGATTATGGCGGAGGGAGAGGGTGGGGGGAGGCTCTCCGAGACTAGTCGTTCGCCGCCTTGAAAAATCCAGCTGACAGAGGATCAAGGTGTAACCGATCCATACGCGTGAGATTAGAGTGTGTTAAGTTGTATGTCAGAGTCCCATTCGAAGACAAGAGAGCGAGAGAGAGAGCGAGAGAGAGAGAGAATGAGAGCGCGAGGGAGTGAGAGAGAGACAGAGCGCGCGAGTGCAAAAGCGCGAGGGAGCGCGAGAGTGAGAGAACGCAAGAGAGAAAGAGAGAGCGCGCGCGCGCGAGAGAGAGAGAGAGAGAGAGGGCCCGCCTGTTGAACCGGTGGAGCAAGGTAATCAAGGCTGGTGGTTGCGGGGCACAGCGTCGGCGCCTTTTCCTCCGTCTCCGAGGCTTAATTAAAAGATGATTACCTAATGAGGGCCATCGATACTACTCGGCACTATACTCGCTAACGAGCCTCTCTCCCTGTCGCCAGGGGAACATCTATATAGCGAGCTATAATTTCGAGATTTTTATCTGACCCTTCGTCGCTCGGTTCCCCAAAAAATGTATGCGAGGGGCCGCGCCGCGTCCTCCGGAGCAATTAGTTATCCCCGCATTCTTGATCCCGTTCGCCTAATTTCGGAAATCGTTCAAAAAAACGATACCATCTACACCATTCAGAATACACAATTCATTCTTTTTCCCGGGACGATCTGACGTTTATTTATTAATCCTGGACTGGACAACATTATAATTTTTATTTCATGTTGTAGCAAAGGTATAACTTTTCATATTTCTTTTCAATTATTTTAGTTAAAGATTAATATTTGAATATCACCGTTTTCTGTCAGACAGAGGCCACACGCCGGCGAATCAACGGGAGCCGGAGCAAGATCCGTGGCGCGGGGAGGGGTGAAAAAATGATGCCCGGCGAAAGGGCGAAATGTTTTCTCGTCCATATATCGCGATCGGTCGTTTCCACGCGATAGATCACGAGTCACGTGGCCGCGCGCGCCGGCTCATCGATCACGATTAGTCGTGTAGGACCTGCCAGGAGTTCATCGATTGCCCGGAGCCACCCTGAAATCGACTCGTGTAACGACAATCCGCGCGCGTGGAACCAGCGGATACAGCGAGAGCGGACCTTTCACAACAAAAGAAAAAGTATCAAGAATAAAAATGGGACACCCGCGGTGTGCTGCATTCACATTATTATTCCATTATTATTTAGAACAAGCATGAAATTCTTCGTCTCGTTGCCGATTGTCTTTCATTATGTTTTCATTGTCGCAGGAAGAATCGGAAGAAAAACACATATGCGAGGATGTAGAGACATGCGTCGCGGGAGAAATACGACGCACGGTCTTTTGATCTTTAATCCGTGTCTTCGGTCACGAATGCATATTTGAACCGCCCCGTTGAAAGCCGATGCAGCGTCGTTCTTCGGGCCTGAACACACGGGACTCTTTGTTCCCCTTCGTATAAAACTCTGGCCGGTCCCCAAGGCACTTTGCCGATTCGTTCGACGCTCACTTTGCTATCTATCCGCCAGGGAATTTCGCGTTATGTTTGCCGTTCCGGCAGAATCGAAGCGTCGGGACTTTCTTTGATCCGACGAACAGCCCGGCCGACGGCTTTTAGGCTCGTCGAACCGGCCGCCAGATGGTTATGATAACAATAATTTGATAGTCAACGAGTTCGAACTGTTCGTGAGCGTCCTAATGGACTGTCATGTGACAACATAACCTCTTTTCGCGGAGACCGTTCACTGTCGATGCTTCCCTGAAACGTGAAAATCATAATTCAGTTGTTTCTACAATCTAGAAAAAATAGATGTGTGCGTGCTGTACAGGGTGTCCCAAAAATGTCTCGCAATACGGAAACGGCGGGTTCCTCGGATCATATGAAGTAACTTCTTCCTTTACAAAAATGTTCTCCGAGGCACCGTTAACGAGTTATCAAGGAAAGAACAGGGCGCCAATAAGAATCGAGTACGGCCGACGCGAGGCGGCCCAACCAACCAGCGCGCGAAGTCCAGTTCCGCTCGTTGGCTCGGCTGTCTCGCGCTAGCTGCGCTCGCCGAGCTAACGAGCGCGCAATCCCCAGCTGCGCGCTGATTGGCTCGCCGAGCCAACGAGCGCGCGAGGCCCAGTTGCGCTGATTGGCTCGGTCGCCGCGCGCCAGCCGAGCTCGCCTCTCATTGGCGCACTGTTTTCCGTTGATAACTTGTTAACGGTGCCTCGGAGAACATTTTTCTAAAGGAAAAAGTTGCTTCGAATGACTCGAGGAACCCGCCGCTTTCGGATTACGAGACATTTTTCGGACACCCTGTATTCAGGAACGTATCGGCCATTGGTTAATCGCGTGTGCCTGTTAAATGATGAAACGGTGCCTCCCCCTCGAACGACGCTCGCATTTGTCGTTCGAACAAAACCGTCCCTGGCGAAATCGCCGGCCCATCGTTCCCGTCCACCCTCCACGGAGCCATCGTCGACCGGCACCGTCGATCGAGGAGACCGGTCTGGCCGATCATCGAGAAGATCACAGAGAAGAAAAGAGAGAGAGAGAGAGAGAGAGAGAGAGAGAGGGAGAGGGAGAGGGAGAGAGAGAGAGAGAGAGAGAGAGAGAGAGAGAGAGAGAGAGAGAGAGAGAGAGGAAGTTTACGAGCCGCGTGTACGATCCGGGCTGCGGCACAATTCGGCGCTAATTGATTTTACGACGTCCGTTATATTGACCGTGAAGATCGTCGACGGTGCTCGTACCGGCAGATAGACGCAGATATAGCTCTAGGGGGGCGCAGATGACACCCCGGCGCGCGAGGAGCCATGCATGACGCCCTTTTTCAGGGATGCAGATACACCCCGAGGAATCCCCATGTACAGCGATCATCGGGGCCGATTTTCATCTTAGAGCGACCGCGCCTGGTGGCCACTCTGCTCTTCGTCTACTCGATACCTCTTCCGATAATGTGCCAATAATTCTATTCACGCTCAAGATACGCTAAGCTAAGGGATAGCCCTGCGAACGATCCTCAACTTGCTCTCCCGTATGGGCGTCCTTATTTTTTTCTGTGCTCCTGGTCGATTATCACGCCGCGGGTCTCGCTGCAGATCCTCCGTCATCTCTCTCCTGCAAAGAGAATTAATTCAATGTAATTCTTTTCGGAGAACGCAACGCGATTATTACATTAACGATAGAAATTAAATTTTAATAATTTTAATTTAAAGTGTAATATAGAGAGAGTATTATAATAAGTAATAATAAAGTATAATATAGTATAATATATAGTATTAAAGTATAGTATATTCGTTCCAAAAGATCTCTTTGTTTTAACCCTTTCCGGACGATGCCGCTCGACGGGTATCGCAGGTATTTGTATATAAAATAACAAATGTTATAAGATATAATTATATTATTGTAAGATTATAAATATGCGGGAAACTTTGCTGGTTTATTAATAAATTTATATTGATAATTAACACTATATGCCGTCCGCAGATCTTAGATACGATTCTTTCGTTCGACGCCGGCGTAATAGCTTGGAAATTTTAGATTTTAAAAGAAAATTTCGAAGATGGCGGTGATATGAATTCCTAAAGTTAAGATATGTCGTCCAAGAATTTTCGCACTTAATTTTTAGTTAAATAAGCACGATGCTGTAGGTAGTTCGCTGCCTTTTAACACCCCAGAAATATAGTTCAAATGTTATTTCAGTTTTTTAACCCTTTGCACTCGAGTGGTGACTCCGAGGCACCAGGAAAATTGTTACACCACGTTCCAAGATAATTTCTATAATAACAAAGCTTACGTATAAAGAATTGTTAAAAGTCTAACTGTTGTATGAGTCACAAGACTCAATTTCATGTGCATAAAATGCACTCTGTCATTAAAATGGAAATACCGCGAGTCGGGAAAGTTAATTTAAATTTACAGTTAATATTGCTTCGAGTGCAAAGGGTTAAAATGGCACCAAAGCGGTACCACCGGCGTACAACGGATTGTTTTTGCATGGCACCCTGCGTGGTGCCACCGGACGGCATAGTGTTAATATACAATGTACATTGTAATTCGTTGTAACGCATACACTCTGTTCTATTTAGAATTTAGCTAATTATTTCGTTGAATTGTTTACGTCGTTCCGCGTGTAATATTAATTTTTATCGAAGGACTACGTCAATGTTGTCGGTATGTCTATATGGCGAAGCAACGTTTCCACGCCGTTCTGATTTTTATTCGTTCGCTGCCTTTTAACACCCAAGAAATATAGTTCGAATGTTATTTCAGTTTTTTAAAATGGCACCAAAGCGGCACCACCGGCATACAACCCGGATAATTTTTGCATGGCACCCAACGTGGTGCCACCGGACGGCATGGTGTTAATAAATTAATAATAAAAAAAGAAAAAGGAAAACGGTAAAAAGACTGGGGCGGCTATTCGTCGACGCTCGTCCGCAACGGTAAAAAGACTTCGGCCGTCTATTCGTCGACACACTCGTCCGCAAAGGGTTAATACTATTTTTAGACGTCGGAAGAACTCCGGACGCCGGATGTTACAAACGAACAGTTCCACGCTCTGTCTAATTAATAGAAAATCACCGACGGTAACGGGGATCCGCGCGAGAGGATCGAACGATCGACACGCGGTGTCGAATAAAAATGCATGAATGCGGGGACGCGTCCTCGCCGCTTATCTTAATTAATTGAAGCGACTCGACTGATCCCGGTAACAGTTTTCTGGAACGGTTTCCACATTCTCCACCGAAACGGTTGCCACCGGATATGTACAGTCTTGTACAGTATTACTCGATCTCGTTCTTTTAATTATTATCGAAGGAGTTCGACGGTGGAACAACAAGTTGCGCGAAAGCGAGAACATGCGGAGGGGTTCGGATGGTCGAGGTGGGAGGGTGGGAGGGAGGGCCGAGCTCTCTTCCCTTCGAATCGATCGAGAATTAATCCGACTGCTATCGCGTCTCGCAAACGTCGCTCTATTGTCTCATTGTCCAACGAAGCGAGAGATAGCGAAGGAGCGAGCCAGAGAGAGAGAGAGAGAGAGAGAGAGAGAGAGAGAGAGAGAGAGACGGATCTTTCCTTCGTTCCTATCTTGCCTCCTTTTCAGATCGCTTCGAGATCCCATTGGACGCCAGGGGATTCCGTTCCTCTATGGCCAGCTAATGCCGCGAGCCGGGAATCGAGGCTGCGACCTCCATCCTGGCCTCTTCTCGGATTGCTCCGCGACTTTTTATCGTCTCGCCTTCCCTCGTCGTGCCGGCTGATACCCCTAAAATGCATCCGAATGTAATTCGAAACACTCTTGTCTTTGCGTCTTACAAGTTTTCTCAAAGCGTGTGCAAGGGTGTCCCGAAAATGTCTCGCAATCCGGAAATGGGAGGTTCCTGAGGTCATTTGAAGCAACTTTTTCCTTTGCGAAAATTTTCTCCGCGGCTTCGTTTACGAGTTATTAGCGAGAAACAGAGACCAATGAGCGGCGAGATCGGCTGGTGCGCGACGGCCGAGCCAATCAGCGGAACCGGGCTTCGCGCACTCGTTGGCCAGACCGCCGCGCGCTCGCCTCTCATTGGTCAGCGTGTTTTCTTCAATAACTCGTGAACGATGCCTCGGAGAAAATTTTCGCAAAGGAAAAAGTTGCTTCGAATGACCTCAGGAATCTTTCTAATCTCCCGGAAGTACCATAATTATGGGACACCCTGTACAACTGCGCGAACACGTTAACTGTACATAACTGAAGCGTTAAAAACTGTTAAGCTGCAATTTGTCACGGTACGGAAACGATGAAATCGGTATCGCTCGGGTAGATCCCATTCATCTTCGATCCAAAAAGCATCGGTAATCGAAGCCTTTCGTATTCATTTGGGCCCGGTGCGGCGAATTAGCAGCGTGATATTGGTTCACTTTAAATTTCCCGTAAGTCGCTTTTTCACCGGCGACAATGGGCCGGTTAATGGCGTTCTTTGAATGGTTCGGCTGATCTCCCCCGGGCCGGTTGCAGTAAATATTATCTGGTGGGCACCGGCCACGGATGTGTCCGGTGAATTGATGAGATTGCCGGTCCGGGTTCGTCTCCTTCTCGTTCTCACCGTTCCTCTCTTTCTTTCCAGCTTCTTTCTTTCTCTCTCTCTCTCCGTCTTTCCTCGAGGAACGCCACCCCCGCACTCCTGACAAATCTTCGGTGGGATCTACGAGAGGCTGATCGAACGAATTCTCGGCGTGACGACCGACGGCATTGTACCTGTTTACCAGCCGAGCGATTTCCACAAGGGACATCGAAAACTTCGATGCGAGGATGAACAACCGGTCGGGACCAATGGGATCCGTGGACACGAGGCGGGACGACAACGGGCCGGATCGAGGGAAATTTATGCCGAGCGAGAGTCGAAACCCTTTATGAAGGCATCGCGAGGGATTTCGGCCCCTTGGATTCCACCGGATCCTTTATTAAACTGGTCTGTGTACTTTGGAGAGGGCGAGTCCTCGGCACGCGACCACCACCGTCGCCTAAGTGCCAATACAGCCGTTTCTACAATGTTAAGTACACCGATCGACGTCGATAAGAGTCGCAATCCTTTGCACCGGAAGCTGTTTCAGCTCCAAGACAGTTTTTTGGACTCGCGGTATTTACATTTTCTATGACTGCTCTCGCTTGTACAGCACATACGTTCTTAACAATTTCATAGACATTTCATTTTCAGCGACGCCTCGGTCAGAGTGGAAAGGATTATTTTGCGAAGAAATTGTTACACGAAGAGCAAGAAAATTTGCAAAATACCGCAGTATTTGGCCGACCAGTTAATATTTTGTTTTTTTTTTCTGGACGGAATAGAAATAACTCTCGCAGAGATTGTGCAAGTTTTTATCGACGCTGTAGTCGTCGTCACGGCCGAGGGACAAGCACGAAAAGACACGCGGGAACGCGGGATAGCCTACGTAAAAGTTTAACGTCCTTTGTGCGAGCGTCACCCGTTACAACGCGACGCTCCTTTGCCCGGTAAAAGTCGAAATGAAGGAAGTTCTCCTCTGAATTCTATTTCCTTCGTCAAGCGGTTTGCACCTTGCCTATCTCTTCGGTCTTCTTACCCCTCCCACGCCGCCGCAGACCAACCCCGCCCCCCACCCCTCGCTCGGAAAATATGACCGTCTTCCTAGCAACGAATTAAGTCGTTTTCGCTCATAATTGCCGGCCAGCAGGGTAACAACCCTGCGGCCCGACAGCCCCGCAACAAGCTTAATCACAATGCCCGCGAAACACCTTGATCAAAAGTGACCCTGATTCGACCAATTCTGGGGAAAGACACCGTTCCCGGCTATAGAATCGTCTTTGTTTTTATATTCACGTCCCGTGGCTTGGCAATTTTTCCGCAGCAACGATCGTCTCTTTTGGAACCCGTTATTTTTATTAACAGTCGTTTGCATAGCGCAGACATTGAAAATTCGTCGCGCTATCTTCTAGGCCAATCGGCACGAAAATTGCATCAAATTATATTGTTATGTTTAATTAAATTAAAATTGAAACAGCTAGGTTGTAAGACATCGATGATATGTCTTGTATGTCTTGACACAACCTTGACATAATCTCGACGTTGCTTTCGTTTTTCGGATTCTAATCAATTTAAGCAGATACAATAAATCAGCGTGCAAATTGATTTTCCAGTCTGAGCAATTAATTCCGTCAAAATCATAGATTGTAGCAGTTAAAGCAAACGAATAAAAATCAGAACGGCGTGGAAACATTGCTTCACCATATAGACATACCGACAACATTGACGTAGTCCTTCGATAAAAATTAATATTACACGCGGAACGACGTAAACAATTCAACGAAATAATTAGCTAAATTCTAAATAGAACACAGTGTATGCGTTACAACGAATTACAATGTACATTGTATATTAACACTATGCCGTCCGGTGGCACCACGCTGGGTGCCATGCAAAAACAATCCGTTGTACGCCGGTGGTACCGCTTTGGTGCCATTTTAACCCTTTGCACTCGAAGCAATATTAACTGTAAATTTAAATTAACTTTCCCGACTCACGGTATTTCCATTTTAATGACAGAGTGCATTTTATGCACATGAAATTGAGTCTTGTGACTCATACAACAGTTAGACTTTTAACAATTCTTTATACGTAAGCTTTGTTATTATAAAAATTATCTTGGAACGTGGTGTAATAATTTTCGTGGTGCCTCAGAGTCACCACTCGAGTGCAAAGGATTAAAATATCTTACAGGCTAATATATCGGGTTGGCAACTAAGTAATTGCCGATTTGTTCAATGAAATAAAAAATTCTTTTACTTGGAACGAAGTTTCATCTGTAATGTATTTTCCATTTTGTTCAATGACCTTTTGCCATCTCTCTGACAACTTGAAAATTCCACGCTCGTAGAAAGTCTGATCCTTTTCGGCCAAAAACTGAGTTAAGCGAGATTTTACAGCGTCATCGTCGTTAAAAGTTTTACCCCGAAGGGAGTTGTCCAGGGATCGAAATAAGTGGTAATCCGATGGCGCGAGATCAGGGCTATATGGTGGGTGTAACATCAATTCCCAAGCAATATCCATCAATTTTTGCCGAATGGACAAAGACGTGTGCGGCCTAGCATTGTTCTGCTGGAAAATGACACCTTTACGATCGACCAATTCTGATCGCTTTTCCTTGACCGCTGCATTCAATTTGTCCAGTTGCTAACATTCACGGATAATAAAAAATAACATAATAATAATAATAATAATTTTATAATATAACATTTACGGATACCATAAAAATGGGAGTGAGAGACATCTATAACTGAAATCGGCAATTACTTAGTTGCCAACCCAATAGAACACAATGCAACACTTTTTGCTCGCTTTTTACTCGCTAAGATCTCGCATTCTCTCATTCGCGCTTCGCTAAAGATACGCAACTTTGGCGCGACACAAGTGAGATGGCATAGCGTTCAAAGCGTTCGCAGCTCGGAACATTGTTTCATTATTTATGACCGACGTGATTTTGCTCCGATGGACGATAAAATTTGTGCGCCGCGTCGAATCCCGTCGTCGGGTCGGACGGATGAATTAAACGAGGAAACGAATCGCGCGCGTGCGAGGGAGGATCTGGCGGTAGTAAATCGGCGAGGAAATCCCCGTTGTTCCCCGTACCACCTCCCCCCACTCCCTCCGCGTTTCCTCGAGACACTCAGCCCATTCAGGCAGCCGGCGTTTTCCGCGAGACAATTGTCGGGCGCAACGCAATAATTGCATAATTCCCGCCACACTTGGCACTCGCCGGAGGTGGTCGGTGGGCACGAAGTGGTTCAGCCGCGAAAGGGTTGGTGGCCACCGAATTGCAGGTTGTAAGTTCTGTCGCCGTGAGAAGAGAGAGAGAGGCCACCTTTATTCCAGCGGAGGGAGGCCCGAGGAGGCCCGACCAGGCCCGAAGGGGGGAACGTCAAACCGGCGGACGTCTTCACTACGGGCTGCGACGATTCAATCTCCGCGCACGTGGACTATGATAAATCGATCACGAGGCCGTCGGCAATCAGTCAAATCGTTCCGATCGCCTAATTCCTGTGTTGCGAATGACCTGCAAAATTCAGGGCAAAATTAGTATTTTTAAATAGTTAAATGGACTATAGGGTAAGATTATTTACTGCGGTTTCTCGATGAAAAGCGAACTTCTTTGACAGAGAAAATAAGACCTTTTAATTAATTAATTAAATTGACAACTCGAGCTATACTTATTAGGAGAGTTGTCAATTATATATATTTATATTATTGCTCTTATTATTCTTTAACTTGAATATTTACTTTTCGCAAAACATTGGATTTCTGACAGCAATAATATAAATATATATAATTGACAACTCGAGCTATACTTATTAGGAGAGTTGTCAATTAAATATATTTATATTATTGCTCTTATTATTCTTTAACTTGAATATTTATTTTTCGCAAAATATTGGATTTCTGACAGCACAGATTTCGTTAAAAAGCATAATGTAAACAAACCATACGTGTTATAACCTGCGGTTATGTATTCCGATTACTACATGTCAAGCTAGACATAACCTATTCTTTTTTTAAATGTACACACATAGCTACAATTCCCAGGATCAAGATATCCTCACTGTAGCACTTTAGAAATTAGGTATATATACAATACTTTGCGATGAAGCATGTTCGCTCCGGCTCGTCGAGAACTGGCACTGTACAGGTTAAGATACGCAGTTCGGTAAAGCGTCGCACTAATGTACACATATAATAAAGAATTATGTGCGCCAAATACTGTATTAGTAAATAATATTTGAGGTTAGATGACAGTGACAGTGTACGTCGAAGTAACGATTACTTTATTTAATGATAATGTTCCCTACATACTTTCAGCAAAAAGAACTTTCAACTTTGTATTCCATCCATTCATTTTTGTCGTAAATGCATAAAATCATTTTCAGAAGAGACCTGATACACGAACAGTCCAGTTATCTTTTCGCTAATATTTTATAAATTCCCAAGCTTTTGTCCGTTCGCGACACATCGAGTTCTCCGGCAATCTAATTGAAAGGGATATTTAAGAGAAAATTATTAAGTTTCTTACTTAGCAATTAAATTGATCAATTTAAAATCGCTAAGTTTACGATCGAATGTATAAGGTTAAAGATTTCCGGTAATTAATTTCCGTGGACGACGAACGAACGCGTCCACGTTTCTGGACGCGTTCTTTTCATGGTGTTGTATATGTATTTGCACGCGTCCCGTTCGACCATGAAGAAGAAGAAGAAGAAGAAAAAGAAGCGGACCCGCGTCGAACAATGCCTTTATTTTCAAGCACCGCAGAGTTAGGGTATTGTCGATGACTCCGGCTACTAGAATGACTTACTGTTTGCGGTGTCTTGGGTTTAGAGCGGCGGTGGCGGAGCGGTCGGGGAGGGGAGGGGAGGGGAGCAGAGAGCAGAGAGACTTAATAGCGCGGCCCAGAAGACTCCGATTTAGCGGACGCAAATGAACTTTCGCGAACGGGGGCCAAGATAATGCGTGGTTATTAATAGAACGAGTATGTTTACGCGATCGCGAAATTATTGCAATCTCCGATCTACGGAGTAAATAAGTTTCCCGTCTCGAATTTGATGTTATCAAAATTTTATTATATAAGTTACTGTTTAATTATTGTTTATATATACTACATAAATAATGCTATATATACTATATATAATATACTATATAAATAATATTATTTATATATGTTATATAATTATTATTATTACTACATAAATTTATTATATACATTTATACATATATAATATATTATATAATACTATATAAATAATATTATCTATATACAAATTATATAATTATTATTAGTACTATAACTAACGATCCAACAAAACTCGCCCGGCCGATAATTCATTTCCGACGTCTCGTTTTGCGTAGAAACAGCGGCAAGACTGCGTCCGAAATCCTGGATCGCGTTTCGCCGATGGAATCTGCTCGCGCGCGTCGGCGGAAGCGATCGGAAAGAATTTTCGCGGAGGCCGTCAGCTTATTTCGCCGGCCGCTCCGCCGAAGTTTCGCGGGCTCCGTCGAGAATAATTGTCTGGCTTTGTCGGCGTAAATCAACACCTCGCGCCGCGCCGATCGAGCGGAATAATCGCCGATCCCATTCAACCCCCTTGCGATCTTCCGTTATGCTTTCCTTGGCGGCCGATGACGAAAGCCGTGCGAGAATAATTCATCCGATACCACCACTGCGCACGTTATTCCCGGATACTAATTTAGTAATAACGACGTTCCAACGGCGCACAATTAGCGGCCAGAGCCCTGCCCGACATGGAAACCGAAAACCTAATCATCCTCTGTCCATAGATCGACCTATAATTCATTGTTCTCCGGTGGACGATACTTACGTTCGAGCCATAAATTCGAGCCGGGAGAAAAAAAATCCGTTTCTTCACGAAAGCATAAATCGATGGAGAACCGTCTCGATCGTTCTAGGTTATCCGTTTTGTTCCTCGGAATCGATCCAATCCGGCCGCGTCGCTTCGTTCGGCGACGCAATTAACTCTGTTAAATACATAATGGACGACACACGATTAAGCTCGCTATTTTCTATATAATTACAAAACATATGACCTGATTCTCGCCGTTTCGATGGACACGGAGTAGCGCCGGTGAATTCTTTCCCAATCGTCGCTCGGATTGCGCAGAAAAATGGACAGGTATCGTCCCTTCCAAAATTGTACATTCTTGTTTAGAAGCCTAGAGACAATTTCAGAGCATTAACTGAACCATTTATTTTGAAAGTGGCCTAAGTTCATTTTTCACAAACACCGAGCTAGCTATTTTAATATTCACATTTCTACGTTATACGTATAATTTCATGTCAGCAAAGGAACACAAAAATATTATACCACCATGTTATCAATTAGCGATATTTTTAAATTTATTAAAACGTGAAAACCTTAAATATCTGGATTTTCAAATAAATGGACTTAGGCCACTTTCAAAATAAACGGTTCAACTAAGCATTGCCATTAATGTTCGTGGTATTTATTGCTAGGTTAAGAGTGGTGTCACTGCGGGCGCCAAAAATACTGCGGTATTTTATAGAAGTAATAGAATTCAACGTTTTATAGCGTGTGATCTTCTAAAAACGAATCTCAGAATTTTTTAAGGTGTTTAATATTGATAATTTAGGACACGCGAGTGACAGAAATCGTAGTTTTAATTTGTTCATTGACTTATGATATTCGAGAGTTTATGAAATGAAGTTGAAGCCCTATGAAATACTCGCAGCTGTGAACGCTGATTCGAATGGTAATTATATTTTGGTAATTAATAATGAACTATTATATCTATTATAGCTATATATTGTATATATTATATTATATATATATATATATTATATATATTATGTCTCTATTTATATTTATATGAACTATTATATATGATAACACTAAAATGTTTTATTTTTTTCAGATAAAGTAGTACTTTGATCAAAAATCGACACACACTGTCACTATCGTCTAACCTCAAATATTATTTACTAACCCAGTTTTTGGCGCATAGTTTTTTACTTTGCGCTTGTGCGCGCGCGCGCGCGTGTGTGTGTGTGTGTGCACATTATTAGTGCGGTGCTTTACCGAACTGCGTGCCTTAACCTATACCGCGCAGAGTACCTATACCTAATTTGTAAAGTAAAAACTTGATCCTAGGAACAGTAAAAAAATAGATTATGATTACCGTGACATGTAGTAATCGGAATATCTGCAGTATGTACCTCGCTCGCAGTAATAAATACATAATTATGTATTTATGGTTATGGTAAACGTATGGTTTCTTCGCATTACGCTTTCTAACGAAGTCCATGTTGTTTCAGAGATCCAATATTTGGCGAAAAGTGGAATATTCAAGTTAAAGAACAACAGGTACAACTCGAGTTGTCAATTTATCGGCGTGAAAGGTTAAATTATTATTATTATTATTATTTCTGTCATTTAATTATTCTTATTTTCTCAAAGTTCGACGTGTTAATATTTCGCTTCTTCTGCAGGAAAACCATCAATGCCGCGAGAAAGAAGATGCCTCCGGTCGCGAGTGGTAGCTTTTCCATTGCAAGAGGACCCACGAAGGTCGTGAACGAAGGTCGAATGAGGTCGAAGCATCGCGGGCCGATCGATCTCGTCGTTAACGAATTCCTGCGTGGCCGAAGATCATCGTGGTCGTCATCGTGGGGCCTCGGAATCGGCGCAGAACAGCGGTCGACGATCGACCGGCGGAGAAACAAATGACTCATTATACCTAGAACCATCGAAGGAGGACTCCGGGTCGTATCGATCATCGATCGACTACGTCGCGACTGGTTCTTGGATCGGGGGCAGACGCGGTTACCAGGATCGTTTCCTCACGGTTTCGTCTCACGGCAGAGTTATAGACGCCGGCCGACCTCTCTCCCGGCAGAGAGCTAATTAATTTTTATAACCCCGGCTCCGCGGCCCCGGCCCCGGTCTCGTACATTCCTCGCTCCGATCCGGCGCGGGGAATATTAATGGGCCAGGCTCTCGTTTGCTTAGCGCACAAGGATTTGGTCTCCTGGTCCTCGCTCTATTTGCGAATCGTCCCTCTCGTACCGCTCCGACCGGCGCTGACCATTCGATCGTTTCCAGGAAAGCCCGCCGGTCGAGGAAGAGTTTCGCGAAACCGAAGAATGGGCTCGCTCAGTGGTCGCATACAACATGAATGGGGCACGGTCTACAAGGCTGCGTCGAAGGACAGTTCGCTGGACTTGAACGTCGAACGGTCCGCAAACTGGCCGTGAAAATTTGCCGGACAATTGCCTCGCGTTTTAACGAGACGCTGTACGAACCCCCCGAGGAACGATAGAGAGACCAAAATACACTGCTCCTGCTCGCTAGAATATTCTTCTTCTTTGGAATATTCATTTTTAGAATATTTCTTCCTGTTTCTCGTAGACCACTCGCTTATAATTCACGCTTTTGGTTCTGTGCAGAATATTATTTGTCGAATAACCCTCTCGGCTCTTCGCCGCTGGCTTTATTCGGCTTCAACGTTCATTCCTGCTGGTTAAGGAATGTTAAACATCGTCGCTGGACAGAAGGATATCGTCCAAGAAACCTAGACGACAAGGTAACAGCGGTCGCGCTAAAATATCTCGCTCGGCTCGCCTCATAATGGAGGGTAGAACCGTAACAAGGCTGTCAATAATCGAACACGCAGCCTTCCAGGTGCGCTGCGACAGGGGGTAAACAGAGATCGGCCCGGAGCTTGCGGCAGGAATCGGCCGGCGAATCTCCACGTGCATCGGCACTCGCCGTTCAAGGTCTCTCGCTGAACAATGGGGCTGAGAGAAACAACTCTGTCGGAACATCCTCGAGATGCGGCAGCAGGTACGGTCTGCAGAAGAGTTCGACGCAGACCGGACAAGCTCTTCTTCTCTTCAAGACAGCCCGGAAAATCGTCGCAGGCCTATATCGTTGCGCCGACTAATAGAGACTGCTGCGAGAATTCTTTGTCAGTACGATCTACCGATCCACCGAGTATGAAAACAGTGACCAATGAAGCAACTTTTTCCTTAGCGAAAATCTTCTACGAGGCTTCGTTCACGAGTTATCGACGAAAAAGCAGTGACCAATGAGAGGCGAGCTCGAGTAGACGCGAGGCGTCCGAGCCAACGAGCGCGCGGAGCCCGGATCCGCTGATTGGCTCGGCCGCCTCGCGCCAACCGAGCTCGTCTTTGATTGGTCAGTGTTTCTCGTTAATAACTCGCGAATGAAGCGTCGTAGAACATTTTCGCTAAGGTAAAAGTTGCTACAAACGACCCCGGGAGCCCCTCGTTTCCCGGAAATATCATAATTTTGGGACACCCTGTACACCGACATCCATCCGACGACCGGTATGGACAAGCGCCGAATACATCTGGCATTCGTGCGAGCCATATTTCCGACGTATTAGAAATTATTCTAACAAAGTCTTTTCTCACAAGGATTCCGGAAAAAAACAGCTACAGGTATAATCGTCGTTCGATCTGAATCGATTATACAAAATTTGAGGTTACATTTTTGTTCGAAACTTGTTCATAGATTTTAACATATTGCAGGCCCTGAACAGAACGTTCACAGGAAACGAAAGATTTAGAAACGGATTAAGCACAGTTGTTACTTAAGAAAAATCTTCGTACAAAAGTGGACCGACCCACTGGTGCTGTGCGCGCATTTTCGGCGCGGCACCCCGTACAGTGGGAAGTATCACGGCTGACAGTGAGCTCGTACCGGAAGGGTTAAAGATCTGCAAGTCTGGCACGATGGCAACGTACAAATTCATGGACGCTAATTCGATAGGGCACCGTACATTCGGATCAACCGGAGACAGTATTTCATGCGGAGAAGCTCCTCGACCGATGCAATTCGTCGATAGTCTTCGCATCGATGGCAACAACGTAAACGATGTAAAATCATTGGCACAGTCCAATGATAGACACGTTTAACATCTGACTACTGTATCGCCGTTGCGGGTCGACTGAAGGGCTTAAAGAGAGCAGGTCCGGGGCGCGAAACGATCTGGGTTAGCCGTTGCAAAACGGATTTTACGAGTTAGGGAGTTCTTTATGGCACTCGGGAGCGTGCACGCGGAGGTGGCTCGTCCTTCACGGCCTTCGAGGGTCGAACAATCGAGTGGGCCGGGAACTACCTACTCGCTTACGGACTCTCGCCTCTCTCCTACAGTCCTACAGTCCTACACAGCAGGCTGCTGCTGCCGCTGCAGCCCTCTGTCCCCTTCCCAGAGTCATAACCGCAAGGAGTACAATGGGTGGAAACCACCGGCGGCTTTTCACCGCCACTTCTTCGTCCCGCCAATTAATTTCCGTGGCGGTGATCCCGGTCGAGGAGGCCACTCGAGGGCTGCCGATGGACGAGCATAAATCTCCGAATCCTCGCTGCCGACGCCGCCGCACCGCCGGTAGCCCTTTCACGAGCCCTGCCGCCGCCGTTTCGCCTTGCGAAGCCGGCGCACCTCGCGCCGTGTTTACAGCGCGCTGTTTTCTCCGTTTATCGCCGGCTCCTTTTAAACCCGCCGCCGCACAGTGCTGGATCGGGCTGGATCGAGAAATTCAGTGACATTCAGTGTTAGAACTTTTGAAACCGTCGAAGATATCGCAACGAAATTCTCACCGAAAATAATTAGAAAATAGTTATTTTCAACTGTAGATAATTAAATTTTGTTTCGCATTTGTTAAACAATAATATTTGATTAATTTTCATTGATAGTTTTTTGTGAAAAAAAGAATTGTTTGAATATAACGTTACAAACGTTATTTGTAACATATTATTAAATAATTATTTTCAACTGTAGATAATTAAATTTTGTTTCGCATTTGTTAAACGATAATTTTTGATTAATTTTCATCGACAGTTTTTTTGTGAAAGAAAGAATTGTTTGAATATAACGTTACGAACGTTATTTGTAACATATCATTTTGGATTGTACCAATTGTAAATACAACGGCAGTAAAACTTTGGTTTATAGATGTCGACCTTGGCACATACAAAGGTCAAGCCGGCCCGTATTCGCGTTACCAACGGACACTTGAAATTAAAGTATGGTAAATAATTCCTGTCGAATCGAAATTTCGATCTCACGAAACTTTCCTAATCGCGGAAGATTAATTATACATTCCCATGTATAATTGACTTTCCGTGCGAATCATTTGGTTCGCACAACTGTATCCGTTTTATGTTAATAAATCATTACTTCGATGTGTTATTATATTAATAAATGTATTATTATATAAATAAATATTATATAAATAAATTACTTCATTGAATTATTGTTTTAATAAATGATTACTTATTCGCGAAACACTTTCCTCGCTATTCTCCCGCCCTCCCCCTAACCGCCATTTTTACCTCTCGCGTGGACAATCGAATAACTTCTCTTTCCGCGTTTGCCGTGTCAATTTTTAGCTGTTCTTAACGAAATATAGGTCTAGTAATAATTAGTGTCGTTTCTTAGTGTTCGTTTACCTGACATAACCCGTTTATACTATATAATAATATAATATATATAGTATATATTATATATATATTATATTATTTATATATATATTATTATGTATATATTATATTATTTATATATATATTATTATGTATATATTATATTATTTATATATGTATTATTATGTATATATTATATATTCTAACCTGTGCGTTGGGCACAAGTATTTGAAACCCCTGGCGACTATATCGTTGATTAAATTGTTTCGTTTAAATAAATCAGTTTTAAAACTGTATTGAAAAACGACATTAGTTATTACTAGACCTAACCTGCAACTGTTCCAAACAGTCCCGAGCGATCGTTTCATCCCCTAACCGGCTCGAAGCGTACACAAAAAAAAGTGAAACAAAAGCCGATCGTTTCGGTTCCGTGTCGAAGACCGTGTTCCCAGCTCTTTCCGAATATTTTCGAGACGATCGTCTGGAACGCCGGAATATTGACGAACGGTTCTTTCAGATCCACGGGGGGAATATTTCATATCGGCGGCCGTGCACCGGAAGCGAGGGACTGTTCCACGGGGGCGGAGGAGGGGAGGGGGTGGAGCGTTGGTGGGAGGAGGGACGGGCATCTATTCCAGCCGGAAGACGTCGAGGATTCTATGGAGTCTAGTCGGTGGAAAAATTGAAGAGCCGGCCCGCGCTAATTCGCGCGACAATGCTTTCCCGCTGCGCGCCGCTCCGGGAGCAGCCGAAAGTTTATCGCGGCGGCGGCGACGGCGGCTCGCGAAAAACGACCTTTGGCTGGCCGCCAATCGCGGCACGATCTTCCGGGGCTCATGGCCAATGACGAGGACCGCTCGCGTCGCACGGGCTTGCATAATTTATTATCGATGAACGTTTTCGGCCGGCACAGAGGCGCGGCGTCCGACGGCGCCCCGTCACCAGAAATTCTGGCTGACCTTGCGCCAAGCGATCATCGTCATTCGACGCCGGTTTACCCCCCCCCCCCGGGTCGTGCCACCTATTTTTTCGCGCGTTCCTTAACACGTTCAACGCACAGTGCTTTTGTTCTGTTTCTAATCTTATTTTTGTAATAAATGTACGCATATAAATTTATATAGTATTAATAGTAATTGTACAGTATATATAAATAATATTATTTATATAGTATCATTATATAGTATATTATATAGTATATATATAAATATTATACAATATTATTTATATAGTATATATAAATATTATATAATATTATTTATATAGTATATTATATAGTATATATAAATATCATATAATATTATTTATATAGTATATGTGATATAGTGTATACAAATAATAATTATATAGTAATTTACATAATAAATTTTATAATAAACCTTCGCGCAGGATCGACCTCAAAATATTCTAAACGTCTAGAAATCTAAGAATATACTCGAGTATACTCGTCGCGACAATATAACCGCGGATATTCAAATTTCACAGTACAGTAAATAAAGAAACAAATAAAAATGGACAATTTGACATCTTGTGGAGAGATTACGGTAACGTGACGGTGTTCTCAAAAAAGATCCCAGTGTAACTTTTGTCGCAGAGGGGGTGGAAAAAACGTAGCAACCCGTTGCCGCTGTCGCAACAGATTCGACTACCGGAATCGCAATTTTGAATTTCAGGGTGTCCGTGGGTGGTGGGTCCCCTAGTTGGTCCCCTGGTGCTCGCCTCGGAAGCGGATCGCGTCTTCTCGGCCTGTGTCTTCACGGTGACGGTCGGTGATGGATGCACCGGCATTTACCAGAGACCGTGTCGCGCGGGAGAGTCGCCTAGACGATAGAAGGATCGGGGGTAAAAAACCAGCGACTGCGGAGCAAGGACAAAGGAGCGAACGTCGACGACCGACGACTACGGCCGACGACTACGACGACTACGACGACCACGGGCGACGAGCAAAACGGGGGTAGAGACACGCGAGATCCAAAGACGACTCGCGGCACCCTGGGAAAGGGGTAGGAGGGTTCGTAGAAAGAGAAATGGAGGGCGGTGGGGGGGGGAGAGAAAGAAGGAAGAGAAAGAGGCGCGCGGAATTCAGAAGCGGAAAGAGGGATGGAAAAGGGAGAGAGAGGGTGCGCGGTAGAGAGTGAGAGGGAAAATGAGAGAGATATGAGAGAAAGAGAGAGAGAGAGAGAGAGAGAGAGAGACTGAGAGTGAAAGAGAAATAAATAAATATATATATATATTATATATATATGATAATATATATAATTTTCTTCTTTAAATATTCTAAAGAGAAATATATATGTATATATTATTATATACATATATTTTTCTCTCTATAATATATATATATATTATAGAGAGAGAAAATTATTTCTTCTCTTATTCTCTCTTTAGAAAATTAGAGAGAGAGAGAGAGAGAGAGAGAGAGAGAGAGAGACTGAGAGACTGAGATAAAGGCTGAGAGTGAAAGAGAAATAATTATAGAGAGAGAGAGAGAGAGACTGAGAGTGAAAGAGAAATAAATAGAGAGAAAAAGAGAGAGAACACGGAAGGAAGAGGAAGGGCAGAAGAAGAAGGAGAAAGAAGGAACCAGCCGGGATTAGATCTCAGGGTGAGTGGGTAGGATTGGATTTGGCAGAGGCGGCGGTAGTCGGTGGTAGGTAGAAGGTGTAGAAGGAGGATAGGGGAGGCAGAGACTTTGGTTGGTGTCCGAGTGGTGGTGGGGTTCGCCGGATGGGAAACGCAGCGAGGGAACACAGCGGCAGAGAAGGAGACGTAAGTGACAGAATAGTGGCGGCGGTGTAGGTGAACTGGACAACCACCAGAACTCTCTCCGTCTCTCTCTTTCTTGCTCCCCTCTCTCTCCGTCTTTCTCTCTCTCTCTCTCTCTCTCTCTCTCTCTCTCTCTCTCTCTCTCTCTCGCTCGCTCGCTCTAGTCTGCTTTCTCTCTCTCTCACTCGCTCTCACTCTTTCTCTCGCCGGTATTTAAGGGAGAGTCGCGAGCGTAGCGCGCCAGTTACTACGGCCGATTGCCTCCACGAGGTGTTCGCCGGTGGAGCAAACGCGCGGATCTTCCCCGTCGACGGAAAAACCGGGCGCGGGAACCAGAGAGAATCCCGCCTTGCCTGTGGACCACGTGGACCACACACGGACACCTGGTTATTTAAGAAACTCCGTACACACCTTTCACCGAAAATCCGAAAATCAAAAGCACAGAATCCCCTCCTCCGCGATCCTCTTCTCTATTCTCTTCAGCATCCCTTCGATCAACTCTTCCGACTCTTCTTCTTCTTCTTCTTCTTCTTCTTCTTCTTCTTCTTCTTCTTCTTCTTCTTCTTCTGCTTCGTTTTCTTCCTTTTTTAAATCCTCTGCTCGCCGGATCGTTGACGGAGCTCCGGGAGAACTTTGGCCGCTCTCTCTCTCTCTCGAGGTTTCTCCACCCTCGGTTTCGCGTTGTTCGGTCGCAAGTGGGGACAGTGGTCACTCGAATATGAACGAATCTGCGCTCCCTGAAGCCAGGGCTCGACGAGGTTCACGGACGAGCTTGCGCCAGCTTTATGGAAGAGTTTGAACCGGACCTGGCTGGCGTGCCTTCGCTCGCGGATGAGATGCAGACCGACGTGCTACCGAGGTACCGTATCCGCGATTCTATTACCGGGCTCCGACGGAACGGTCGGAAACAGCTTTTACCGATTCGAATGCACGACGTACGACGCGAAAACCGCGTCATCGTAACAAGTGGTGGTAGTTCTCCGTCGACGGCGAGTCGCGTCCGTCGCGAAAGTGTCGGATCCTTTTTGCCTTGGCCACCGACCTCGAAGATTTCATACGGCACGAAACGCTGCGTGCACCGAGAACAAGTGATACCGTTCGTTTTTTATCGTAGTTAGATTACTAGCAGTTTGTTAATTGTTATCGCCGGGCCGCGGATGTTTATGCGAAATGAATATTCCTTCGAGAAATCGGGTTCGAATCGAAATGTATGCTTCCTCTGTCGATGATTCGAATAACACTGAAAATAATATTTTTTTATAGTATTTTTCATGATATTAATATTTTCCTAGAATGTTTGTAATAATATTAGTACTTACCTATAATAGTTTTGATAATATTAGTATTTTTCTGTAGTATTCTTAATGATATTAATATTTCCCTATAATATTCTTAATAATAATAGTATTTTCCTGTAATATTCTTAATAATATTAATATTTCCCTATAATATTCTTAATAATATTAATATTTCCCTATAATATTCTTAATAATATTACTATATTCCCTATAATATTCTTAATAATATTACTATATTCCCTATAATATTCTTAATAATATTACTATATTCCCTATAATATTCTTATAACATTAATATTTAATATTCTTAATAATATTTTTGATAATATTTGTCTACTAATTTAACCTCTGTTCCGCGTACATTTCGTTAACTTTTCTCGAAAATCGCCTCGAACAGTGTCCATCCAGAGTGATATATCGTGCCAGCAGTGTTTCCGTCGTTGCGTCGAACCCTTTCGGGTTAATCTCGAGAGAGCTCGCGTCGCAAGAATCGCACGCGAAACGTACGAGATCGTCCGGAGAATCGTGCGTTCGATTCCGAACGATTTTTTTTGACTTTTCACTTTCGCGAAAGTTCCCTTTTCCATCACGAACGGCCGCATCTCAACGTCCCGTCGATTTTCGAATCGCCGACTTCGTGAACAGTGTCGTCTAGTCGAATGAGATAACAGCGGAATAAGTTAATTAATTAGCCGTTAGCCAAGTTTCCCGTTAAACGAGCTTCCGTTTAAGCACGCATAAGCTCGCCTCCAGTAACAAAATTTCGAAGCGGCCTGAACTTTCTCCGTTGTCCGATCGGGTTCTCCCGACTTCCGCGAACTTATAGTCAGCGCCACGAGCGACTATACAGGGTGTCCCAAAAATGTCTCGCAAAACGGTAACGGAGGGGTTCCTCGGATCATTCGAAGCAGCTTCTTCCTTTACAAAAATGTTCTCCGAGGCACCGTTAACGAGTCATCAACGAAAGAACAGTGCGCCAATACAAATCGAGTACGGCCGACGCGGGGCGGCCCGGCCAACCAGCGCGCGAAGCCTGGTTCCGCTCATTGGCTCGGTCGCCTCGCGCCAGCCGAGCTCGCCTCTCATTGGCGCACTGTTTTTCGTTAATAACTCGTTAACGGTGCCTCGGCGAAAATTTTTGCAAAGGAAAAAGTTGCTTCGAATGACCCAAGGAACCCGCCACGTTCGGATTGCGAGACATTTTTGGGACACCCATATCGTCGACTATACGGCGACTGTAATATCCTTACATACGAATAATATTAATATTATAATATATATTATATATATATGTATAATATTAATATTATAATATATATTATATATATGTATAACATAATATAATTATTATATTATATTATATTATATTATATATATTATATTAATATTATATTATTAAGAATATTACCTTCGATACGTACGATCGAATTCGTTTCGATTTTTCACGGTGAAATTTCGACACGCGGTTAAATTGGTGCGCGAACGAAGAGAATCGATTAAAACCGTCGTCGCGCGTCTTCGCCACGTTCGTCTTCGATGCGTGCACTTCTACCATTGCAAAAAAGATCGAATTACATAACCAAAGTCGCGTATCACCGGCCGCGCATTTTTCTCGCCTCCCGCTTTATCGCCGACACACACGAAAGCGTTCTCGCGGCGAGAATTGAACGAAAAATACGATCGCCGAAGATCCGGCCTGAAAAACGATCGAGATACGCGGCCGGCCGTTATCTCCTCATTCTCCTGAATTACGCGGGTGTCGGCGCATGAGGTGACTCCGGCACCGTAATTTTTTTTCCCCTCCCCCCCCTGAGAAATTGCAGCACGAACCGATATAACCGCGATTGTGTCGCAACCGCGACGATTAATCAGATTTTTTTTTCCACGTTACCGCGAATTCCACGCGCGACCGTTTCCCGCTATTGCGAACCGGTCATTGATAAAACTTCTCCATTCAACTGTATTCCTTTCGTCACGTTTCGTCGCGTTCCGACGCTACTTATTCGCGGGCCACCATGCAGAATACGCCACTGAATACGCGAACGCGTGTCCGACTGCGTTCGAAAACAACTTCAGATCGCGGAAAAAGATCGCAACGCTCTCTTCCATCGTCTTGGATCGAACGATTAATGAGAGAGATATGAGAGAGAGAGAGATACTGAGAGTGAAAGAGAAATAAATAAATATATATATATATATATTATATATATTATATCTTGGATCGAACGATTAATACGTTCAGTGCCGCGTGAGTCGCGTATGGGCCACGCTAATTTTTAACTAGGTTATGGAAATTCATTTTTATCATAGTATATCGAACAAATCGGACGTTTTTCTAACGGATTTTTTTAACTAGGTTATGGAAATTCATTTTTATCGTAACATATCGAACAAATCGGACGTCTTCCTGACGGATTTCTGGAATACAAAATAGCCGAAGCAATATTTCCAATTGTAAATTTGCGCTTTCTAGTTTCATCGATTAAATGACTTTGACATCGTGCGAATTTTTCGAGCCGACATTCGGCGCTCAAAGATCGTTTCGCTTCGATTCCCCGAGAACGCACGACTAAAATTCAGATATCTTCTGAACCAGTGATTTCTCGCTATAAACACCTCAATACTTTTATGAAGAGAACGACGCGCTGGATCGATCGCCGCATTAAAAAACATACGATTCCATTTAAGAAAATAAAGTCGACCTTGGCATAACCTCGAAGGCGTTCATCTAGAATAACCTCGTCGATATCGGATTACGCGTCACTTAAAACCGTTGAGATTTCGTTGGAAACATTTTGTTGTATCGTCGACGGTTCCGAAGATATTCGACCGGATCGATGTAAACGGATCGCTCTGTGTTCGGCGAGTTTGTTTGCTCGGCGATCGTATCGCGAATTCCGTCGATTCGTGGAGCGCGATTCGTGGGATTTCGGTGATCGGGTCGCGTCGGGTCGCATCGCGTCGCGTCGGCCTGCAGATATCATACGTGCTAATTACGTAAGAGCCGTGGGGATACGGAGGCGCGGCTTCTTTTTATCATCCCGATGAAAAGAAGATGATTAAGCGGCCGATGGCGGACTGCCAAACACTCTGGCCCCGGTGAAACGGCACCGCGGCGCGGTGCGGCGGTGTGGCGCGGAGGCGGCGCCGCGCATCGCCGCGAAAAGAAGACGTCGGGTACGCGTCTGGTATCGGCGTGCGTGATCCCTGTCGAGTCCACGTCCCTTTAATTCCTTTAAATCGCTACGAAAACGCCGGGAATTGATAAACCGCGTTACAACCGGGCCCGTTTCGCGACGCGCGTTTCTCGTCGTCCCGCATCGACGTATCGAGCTCGAATTGAATACATTTTCCCCGATGGAATCCGACGGGGACTGCATGGAAAACCAAGATCGCGATACGATTCGATTAATTTTTTAACGGAGCGATCGCGCGCGACCGTGAACACGGGCTCGGTTTAAAACTTCGACTTTCGCGTCGTTCAATCGGTTCGCTGCGTTCGATGAATATACTCGTCACAGAGCCGCGGTAATATTTTGTGTCGCGACGAGTATACTCGTCGCGCGTAAAACGTAGCGACCATTGGATATTTAAATTGCAATTTTAGTGGAAACAAGAAGATATGAAATTTCAAGATCTTCGGAATATTTTTAGGCCAATCCTGCACGAAGGTTTATTATAAAAATTACTATATAAATAATATATACTGCTACGACTATATAAATAATACTATATACACTATATAATATACTAGATAATAATACTGTATAAATAATACTATTTATATATGCTGTATAATTATTATTAATACTATATAAATTTATCATATATATTTATCATGAAGCTTGCAACCGAAAAATCTGAAAAAATTCTATAATATGCGGCTGGATGTCAATAATATGGATGATAATAATAATAATATAATATAATATAATAATAATAATAATATATATTATATATACCATACACATATACCATTATATCATATATAATGGTATATAATGGTATAATGCTCAATTAGGCCAATTTCGACCATCTCAATCGGCTAGGCCCTTTGTCGCGAAACATGAAACGAAACTGCTGTTCGACAATCGGCGACGCTCTGACCAGGTGGTGTAAATATTCGTGCGCAGGAAAGCAACGCGAACCGTACGGAGCCGGTGCCCGATGCTGCTGGTGTTGCTGTTGCCGATGGTGCTGTCGGACGCTGCCGGAGCTCTTCTTCGACAAACGGACGTCCAGCCGTACGGGAATTCCACGGCGGAGACGGGCAGACGCGGGACCAGCCGCGGTATTTCGGTCACCAGGATTCTCCAAGATGGCGAGCTCGAGCGTGTAATCCGCTGGCGCGGGATCTGCGCCAAGGAGACCGTCGTCAATTGGGGGTAAACAAACTTTTCCTCCCTCCCCGACAGCCCGCTCTCCCCTCCCCCCTCCCTCGACATCCTTCATCCCTTTAACCGTGCTCTCCGCTCCTCGGCTTTCTGCCACCGGTGTCCTTTCAGTAGCGGCCTCGATCTTTTCCGAAACTTCCTCTCCCCGCGTCTTTCCCCCCACCCCAACCCCGATCTCTCGATCTTATCTGCTCTTTCGCCGGCCGCCCGGCGAATTCCGAGATAATCCACGCTAATCCGCGACGTTTCGCAACTATTCTTTAACCTTCGGACGCCGGACATGTTTCAGCGTTTATGGCAGTTCGAATCTTCGCGATTAATTGTTAAATGTTAATAACATTCGACGGCTGAGACCTCGTCGTGCACTTTGTTCTGCCCAAGTTACGATTCACGAGTCTGATCGGTCGTTCAGACTGGTCGTTGAAACTTCTAATTACTATAATTTACCAATATAATTAGTTTACTAATATTATAATACAATTATTGATAATAATTTACTAATATACACTACTATGTATATTATATTGCTCACACGAATGAATTCTCCAGGAAAATCTACTGCCTTTATACCGGGTGTTCCATAATTACGTTAACAGCCGCGAATGAGAGATACCTGAGATCATTTCAAGCAACTTTTTCCTTTGCGAAAATGCGATCCGCGGCTTCGTTCGCGAGTTATTAGCGAAAAACAGTGGCCAATCAGAGGCGAGAGGATCGGTTGGCGCGAGGCGGCCGAGCCAATGGGCGTAATTGAGCCTCGCGCGCTCGTTGGCCAGGCCGCCGCACGCCCCGTCGAGATCGCCTCTCATTGGTCACTACTTTTTCGTTGCTATACTATACTATAACCTAAGTATAACCTAATTTGTGAAGTGCTACAGTGAGAACATCTTGATCCTAGGAATTGTAGCTGTGCGTGTATATTTAAAAGAAAATAGGTTATGTCAACCTTGACACGTAGTAATCGTAACGTAAGTTACGTAACTACGTACGTATACAAAGTGTATACATAACCTCGATAATACATGCACTCGCTTTACAGTGAAATCCGTGCTTTCAGAGATCCATTTTAATAATTAATAATCCATAAATATTCAAGTTGAAGAATATAATAATAAGTACAGCTCGAGTCGTCAATTTATTTGCGTAAAAAAGGTCCTATTTTCTCCGTGAAAGTCCTTCGTCGAGAAACCGCTGGTAATACCTGCACTTAGCCTACCTTGGGTTCCGAATGATCGAAACGGTTCCCGGATCCCGTCGGCGACCTCAGTTTCTCGGATCTCCGAACCGAGTATCCGCCCCGCGAGCACGATCGCCGCATCGTTGAACGGCCCTCTTTGTCATCGCAAAGCCCTTGGACGCGACGTTAACAAGCCTCCGGCCTCCTCGAGAGCAGGGATTTCCTCGGCGTCCGGAGTGTTTTTTCGGCGCGCGAGCACCAACACCGCGGTGCCGATCCTCTCTCCGTTAGAATAACATTTTCCCCGCGTTCGCTAGAAGGCAAATCTTCTTCTGAGCTCGTCGGGGTGGGAGGAGTTCCTCCGCTTCCTCCCGTGCCGCGCGTATCGGCGGCACAATGCCGCCTTTCACCGTTACCAATACGCCGCGGCGGGGCGCATTTAGCATCGGTTACACACCTCTTTGAAAACCTAGCGGCACCGTCGTCCGCCCGCAACCGGGGAAAACTGGCGTCGCTCCGATACGCGTCGTCGCTCGTGTTTCCCGTCTTTGTCAGTCCGGCCGGAAAGCAGCTCATTGAATCCCGCCGCGTCGCGTCGCTAAATCGAGTCGGTCTCACCTTGTTCCGTTCGAGGAAACCCGACGGGAAAAAAGGACGGACGAGGCGCGCTGCGACGGTTTCCACGTCCCGTGACACGTCCAGGTGTCCTCGCGCGAGTGGAACGGTGTCCCACGGAGCTGGCCGCCGGACGGTTTCGCGATTCGATTTCGCGGTTCGATTTTCTCGTCCGTCGCTCGCGGACGCGATAACCTCTCCGACGAGCTTCACACCCTTTCGAGGTTATATTTCGAGGTGCAGTAAATTCTACCGATTGGAACGAAGAGACAGATTTGTACAATTTCGGCATCGATTTTGATCGCGCGTGATCGAAATATTTCCGGTCGATGACATTTCGAGATTTATTTCTCTCCGTTATAATTTGAGGTTTAACCCTCGACCAGTCGTGATTATTATTATAGAACACCCTTTATTATTATTATTTATACCAGCAACTTTTTCGTTTGCGAAAATGCGATCCGAAACGGTGTCCAACGAGAGGCGGGATTAGATGGCGCGAAACGGTCAAGCGTCACTCGCCGAAACGGCGCTCGAGCGCCCGTTGTCTGGGCCGCCGCGCGCCGGCCGAGCTCGCCTCTCATTGGTCGCCGCTTTTTCGTCGATAACTCGTTAACGGCGCCTCGGAGACAATTTTTGCAAAGGAAAAAGTTGTTTCAAATGACGCGGAGAATCGCCCCCGGGTGTTAACTCCGACCCGATCGGTGCACGCGACTGGAAAGCAAGATTCGATTCGATCGAAAAGAAAAACAAGGGCCGATTCTCGTCGAGAGGGCGTCTATCCCGGCGTCCCGTCGATTCTCGATGATTCGAGGGACGCCGCTTTCGATCCGCGCGATCGCAGGGGTCGCTTGTTTCACGTCAAAGGGGGGAGAGGGGGTTCGGATCGAAAAACAATTTATCACCGCCGGGCGTGGACAGCGACCGCCGAGGCCAAGCGTGGTCTTAAGCCGAAAAGCGGCAAGCTAAGTAAGCAAGGATTAGGCGAGGCGAACAGGAGAGTCGGCGAAGGACGGTGGCCCGGAGCGGCGTGGCTCCTAACTCATCTGCTGATGCTCTCACGAGGATGACCGGGGAATTCCACGACCGCGAAACGTCGCCTTGCACTTAAACGGAGAGGGGGAAAGCTCTTTTCCTGTTACGAGAAAAGCACGAGTTGTCCGTTCTCATGATTCCGGCCCGTCCTCCGGGCAGGAGGTGGGGGGCGATCAATTTTTGATCGGGAAAGGACAGGTATCTGCTATTCCACGAGCGAACGAGGTCGGTCCGTGTGCCTCTACCAATTCGTCAAACCTTTCGATAGACAACCCTCTCTCCCTCTCTCTCTCTCTCTCTCTCTCTCTCTCTCTCTCTCTCTCTCCACTGCAATGCTACCTTCTCTCTTGGCCCTATTCCCTTAACGACACCTGAGAATCGAACATTGAATCCGCTCGGACGTTTCTGTGACCCTGTTCCGGCGCATCTGTGCGATGAATGTCCGGCAACTTCAACCACGAACGCCGTTCGATCCGCCTCCACACGTTTCCCGGACACAATCGCCGCGCGCGCTTCTTATTTGATAGCGACACGGCAACGTTGCCCGAGAAAGCCGCGTCGTCCTAACGCGCGTATTTTTATCGCATCCATTGTTCTAATGATCTCGAAAAATGCACTCGCTTCGATTCTCCAACAAGTTTTTGCAATGCAATTTTTTGCAGTGCAATTTTTTGAACGAACGAATAATTGTATAATTAATTGTCTACATTATTGATTCGGTTGAAATGTTCGTTGGACGCGATCGTGGCGCTTGTATTTTTATAATTGAGCCGTTTATTTGGAAAGTGGCATAAGTCACTTTTTCAAAAAAATCGAGATATATAATTATTATATATTATTATATAATAATAATATTTTTACTTTTAACCGAGCGAGAATAATGTCCGATCTCTTCGAGTCCACGCAGACCTATATTATATATAGGTCTATAATAATATTATATATTATATATTATAATTATTATATAATAAAAATATTTTTACTTTTAACCGAGCGAGAATAATGTCCGATCTCTTCAAGTCCACGCAGACCTATATTATATATAGGTCTATAATAATATTATATATTATATATTATAATTATTATATAATAAAAATATTTTTACTTTTAACCGAGCGAGAATAATGTCCGATCTCTTCAAGTCCACGCAGACCTATATTATATATAGGTCTATAATAATATTATATATTATATATTATAATTATTATATAATAAAAATATTTTTACTTTTAACCGAGCGAGAATAATGTCCGATCTCTTCAAGTCCACGCAGACCTATATTATATATAGGTCTATAATAATATTATATATTATATATTATAATTATTATATAATATATTATATTATTTATTTATTATTATTTATTATTATATTATATAATATTATTATAGACCTATATATATATAATATAGGTCTGCGTGGACTCGAAGAGATCGAACATTATTCTCGCTCAGCCGGCACCTGACCGCGTTTTACGATTCGAGCGCGTTTCACGCGGTATCTCCACGGAACGAACGCTTGCGGTGCTCGGAGAGCAGCCATAACCTAGCCTCGACCCGTAAAACTTGCGTTAACTTTTTCGTTTCGCGGAGAAGCGGGGCGGGGGTGGGGGAACGAGGCTGTGTTATCGGGATCGTGCGGCAACAATGGAGTAAAAAAAAAAGAAAAAAGAAAAATATAAAACGATTCGCGACCGCGGAGCCCGGAGAGAGAGGGCCGGGGATCGGATCCAAAAAATCGGCGAGCGTGACGCGTGAGTTAACGCGGGAGAAATTCACGGTAGATTGGCTCTCGTGCACGCGTTGCGCTCGTGGATGCGAGCGGTGATTAACGTGCACCTATGATTGATGCACCCCGCCTTATTTTCGACGCACGGATAAGCATCTTCGGCCGGGCGTCATTAAATTTGTTACGCGTTGCTGACGCCGGCGATGTTCGATCCTGCTGGATCATCGGCCGGCCCCCTCGAGAAGAATGATCCCGACGTGCCTGACGTCTTCATGCTAGCCCTAATTTTAACGTTCCGTGCCACGGTGGTCGATCGAGCTCCGGTCGAAGTTCGAACGACAACGTCTGAGATAGACTCGAGTCCCGAAAGAAATATTGCTACTATTAGTATATAGTATTATATACAGGGTGTCCCAAAAATGTCTCGCGATCCGGAAGCGGCAGGTTCCTCGGATCATTTGAAGCAACTTCTTCCTTTACAAAAATGTTCTCCGAGGCACCGTTAACGAGTTATCAATGAAAGAACAGTGCGCCAATAAGAATCGAGTACGGCCGACACGGGGCGGCTCAGCCGAGCAGCGCGCGATCCCCAGCTGCGCGCTGATTGGCTCCGCAGCCTCGCGCCAGCCGCACTCGCCGAGCCAACGAGCGCGCGAGGCCCAGTTGCGCTGATTGGCTCGATCGCCTCGCGCCAGCCGAGCTCGCCTCTCGTTGGTCACTGTTCTTCGTTGATAACTCGTTAACGGTGCCTCGGAAAAAATTTTCTACATAAAAAAGTTGCTTCGAACGACCCGAGGAACTTTCGGATTGCGAGACATTTTTATATTCTTGGTATTTACCTGATGAATCGCGCGGTCAGCGTGCCGAAATCGGAAGTTCGTCGATCACGAGTGGTGTTCGAAGTGTTTAGAGGTTAGCGATTCTCTTAGAAACGCGTTCCGATGCGTGAATCAGAAAGAATCGTGCGATATACATAGAGATCTCTCTATTCTGACGATCCATAACCCCCTCGGTAGAGATACGGACGTAGCACTGAGGCAAGTCTGGCTGCAGGAGACCGGCAGAATGTTGCAACTGATATACGAGGCCGGCTCGCTGACCGACTGCGTCGACGAGGAGCTCGTCGACGGGGACGACAGCTCCTGCACGTCGAGTACGCACTTCGCCGATTACGATGACGAGGCGTCGATCGAGGTGTTCGACGTCGACGAGCACGAGGACGCCTCGAGGATCCCGCAGGACCTCTCCTGGCTCTCGTCGACGTCCGAGCTGCGGCATCGGTGCGCTCGCGTCAGGATCAGGGCGAGGAATCAGCTCGTTGGACAACATCGTCGCAGGTAATATCGTCTGCCAATCCGAAATCGGACTGTACAATGTTCTGTTAATCCTCTGAGGACAAATTTCCCCGTATTAACGACATCAGATATTTATTTAATAAAAATATATATATAATATAATATATTAATTATATTATATATATATTTTTATTAAATAAATATTATTATATATATTTATTATATAAATAGGAATACTCCTCTTGATAGATATATATATATATATATATATATATATATATTTTGATTTTGAGTAACTTTCCGGACACCTCGTATAATCCTTTAATCCAGACGTGTATTTCTATTTCGTACAACCTAACCTAATAAAGAGCAAAAAGTACGAGCTCGATGATCGTACAAGCAACGAAACGATTTGAAACCAGTAATTTTCGTGAGACTGATCGGAACTTTTGTCGCAGGAAGTACGCGAAGCTGGAGAACACGACGAGCAACAACAGCCGGAAGCAAAGAAGAGGCAAGAGTCGGTCCCGCAGGGACTTGCTGATGATCCCGGGGACACAATGGTGCGGCCGCGGCCATCGTGCCACCAAATACACGAATTTAGGCGGTTTCGGCACCGCGGACGCTTGCTGCCGTCGACACGACACTGCCTGTCCCTTCTTCATTCCGGCTTTCGAGACGCGTTACGGCCTCTTCAATTGGGGCATCTCGAGCATGATGCACTGCGCCTGTGACGAACGGTACCGGGATCGATATTTTCCTCGAAAATCCCGATTCGGGCTCGATTTCGAATCCGCGGACTTTTGCGGTGTTTGCAATAGCGATATTTGCAATATTGGCAATATTTTGCTAATTAATTATTATTAATTGTTTGCGATATTGGCAATATTTGGCTGTGAACGCGTTCACGCGTTTGTAATAAAGTAACCAGAAAAAAAGAAACTGTCGCAGATCCGCGTTCGAATTCGAAATCGGATTTCGAATCGCATCGAGGTTGTTCTGCTACTTTCTGTTACCTTTACGAATTCGAAGGATCTTACGAGCACATCTTTGCAACGCATTGTATTATCGGCAAACAAACTGCCACGACCATCGCAGAACCGAAAAATGACGGTCGTATAATCGGCGTACAGTGATGTGAATAATTATACAGGGTTTCCCGAAAATGTTTCGTAATCCGGAAATGGGAGGTTCCTGAGGTCGTTCGAAGCAACTTTTTCCTTTGCGAAAATTTTCTTCGTAGCTTCGTTTACGAGTTATCAACGAAAAACACTGACCAATAAGAGGCGAGCTTGGCTCGCGCGTGGCGGCCCAGCCAACGAGCGCGCGGAGCCCGGTTCCGCTCGTTGGCTCGGCCGTCTCGCGCCAAATGATCTCACCTCCGATTGGTCACTGTTTTTCGTTAATAACTCGTAAACGAAGCCGCGGATCGCATTTTCGCTAAGGAAAAAGTTGCCTCGAATCACCTCAGGAATCCCCTACTTTCGGATTGCGAGACATTTTTTGGACACCCTGTATTTGTTCGACTATATTTGCTCAACGAAACATCGTATTTTCATATTTTTTTTATATTGTAGATTCCGCACGTGTTTGAAAATGGCCGGGACATCGTCGGCGAACTTCATCGGCAAGATCTTCTTCAACGTCCTCCGCACGAAATGCTTCATTCTGAAGCCTCAGAAGGTGTGCGCGAAGTGGAGCTGGGCCGGGAAGTGCCAGCGGCACGAGTACCGGAAACAGGCACACGTTCGCGATAATGTTCCTTATTGAATCTGAACGAAGAGAGTCGAGCCTGATACGGTGAAAAGAGAAAGGAAGAAAGCGAGAGAAAGAGAGAAAGAGTGTGAGAGAGAGAGAGAGAAAGAGAGAGTTCGAATATTCTTCATCTAGAGATGTCAATACCAATTCTCAGGGATGTAATATTTTATTGAGTATTTAACCGAGGGAAGGGATCATTGGGAATGATCGGTTTCTTGTCAAGCAATCGTCGTCCGAGTTCACGAATGACAATACAATGGTGGTCGTAATTAGGAGGCTCACGAAACTGTAAATCTTACGATTAAACTTCGTACTAATTAGACTCGATTTCTACTTTAAGCGTGCGATGTTCCCGAACCGCGGAGGTCCATTCGATCGATCATTTCTGATGAAATGATCGTCGTCCTTTAGCGATTCGATTGCTAAAATAATTCCGCGCGGAGTTCACGTTTTTTTTTTGTTCCCGCGAGGAGCGATAGCTTTTAGTCTTGTCTTTAGTATTTTTTAGTTTCCGCTTTCTCGGATCTTATGGGTTCAGTTTTCAAGCCGGAGGCAACAGCGATCCGGCGGTTAGGAGCGTGTTAAATTATGCCCTCGCGAAACGCCGTAGCGATAAAATGAGTTTCGAGAACGTTTTCGAGATAGACAGGGTATCGTTTTGTATTAACTACTATGCGCTAGCTGTGTAGTGTCACTATCGTCCTAATGAAAAAAAAAGGCCAAATAAATTATTCTGTAGATAAACAATATTGAAACTATACATATCAAAGTAGCATAATTTTTCAAGCATGAGAAAACTAGAGGAGAATCGATGTTAAGGTGTAGCCTAATTTACGATGCGGTAAAACGAATCTTAATCTAGGGGTGTTCGAATCAGTGATTTTCTTTTTTCTTTTTTTTCGATAAACGTTTCGTTCACTGTAATTTCCGTATTCGGTATGTTTGTATTTATGTGCGAGTGTAAGTATGGTGCTGTGTAAGTATACATATAAAGTGATTCGCTATTGTAATATTACAGGTTTCGTTTTAACTTAATAATAATGCGAGTGGAACGAGTAGGAGAGTTATAGAAAGGGGCAACAGGTATTTAATTACGATCGACAGTGTTTAATTATATATATTAATAAAATGTCTAGAGGTAAATTTCAATTTGTCTTTTTAAATATAATGTTACTCGCGGATCGCAGATCATTGCGCAAAATCAGAATTGTTCACGGTCGCCGAAAGAATTTTAATCGATTGTAACTAAATTAATAGCGATCTTGAATATTTTTAAAGCTTCAGCTGTCTAGTAATTCACATATTCATTTTGATTGTATGCGCATAAGGATTCGCAGTTTAATCGTGGAACATTTGAATAAAAGTCATAAAACTTGTTGATCGAACGAGTTTCTTTTGCGATTGAAATATGCTAAAATGGAAAAATATGTATACTGTATAAATAGAAATAGCCCACGCATACTATGAAAAAACGTACAGAACCTGTCTGCCTAGTCTGTATTTACTATATAGGTTTATCGTTGTATATATGTAGGATAGATACATTGTATTATCGTCTCTGATAAAAAAGATGACGAGGATAATTGTAATTAGACTGTGGATGTTTATGTAATGATATAATATAATAATATTATATATTATTATTATATTATATTATATTATATTATATTATATTATATTATATTATATTATATTATATTTATTTATTATAGAATACTATAATGGAACCGACAGACATTAAGTAGAAATGAATTTCTTCTCTTAATAATTTGAAATCCTTTAAATGATCTCATTTTGTACTTCGTCGACCGATTTTCATCAGAAATTCAATCCGCAGTCTAATCGTGATTATAAGGCAGATATTTGTGAGTCTGTAGCTTCTAAAAATCTGGAAGGAGTCGATAAATATTTAGTACAGTTTTAGATTATTCGTAAGGTAACGAAACCATCGATACAGGAAGCAGAATTTTATTTAATTATGTTTCGCGAAATTCCTGTATAAAAGTGTAAACTTGTATAAACATCGACGATCTAGTTATAATAAAGTCTTGTGAAGAATCGTAAAAAAAAAGTTGTTACGCTTCATTGCCTCCGTTCGATTTAAATTCAAATTCGAATTCGAATCTCCGCACGAACATGCGCAAGCGACGCGCGCGCTAAACCGAGTTCTAAAAACACGCGGTTCGTCGGTGAGCGGTTCAGCGGTGCGATAAACATTGCTAGATTACTTAGCCTTTTTTTTCATTTACAGCATTCCGCGCTACAGGTGTTTACTATTGAGTGGTAAATGCCACCGATTAAAAGTGTACAGCAAATATTATTTCAAAAGTTTGTCGCGATTAGACATTGCGATGCATGAAAATGAAGTGAAGTCGATGCAGGGAAAGATCGCTTGTCCGCGGGAACAGTTGGATTTGGGGATCACTTTGAAAGGTGGCCAAAGTTTCAGGTAAATTATTTAATAAATTTATAAATCTCATTACACGTCGTACATAACCAACATTTTCAGAAAGAATGCTCATTTTTTCTGCGACAAAACTTCGGTGGAAATTTCATGATTTCACTCATGATTAATTCGTTAAATTTATGTAATCTTTTTGATGTTCTACAATTGAATATAATATATTTCAGATGGGTTCCTGAGAGTGATGGCTACAGAGGAGTATTTGATGGATACGTTTGGACTCTCGTGCAAGACAATACGCATTTATCGTACACTGTCCAAGGTCCACTAAACGATTCCAAAAATTACAACGATATTCTATCTCAGTACTTTAGATTAGACGTGTCGTTGTCAGACCTCTGCAAAGAATGGAGTACGGTGGACGAACATTTTCAAAAGTCGTTAGATAAAACGAATGGTGTTAGAATATTGAATCAAGAAGTCGTTGAAAATGTCTTCTCTTTCATATGTAGCTCGAACAATAATATACGAAGGTATGTCGAATTCGTTGCTGTAGGTCGAACATATTTGATTAGATATTTATATTTGTAATCTTTCTAGAATATCGACGATGGTAGAAAAACTATGTTCTCTATTCGGTGAAAAGATCTGTTCGATCGAAGATAAAGATTACTATAGTTTCCCAACCATTGAAGCGCTAGCAAAGCAAGACGTTGAGGAACAACTGAAAGAAGAGAAATTCGGATACCGTTCGAAATATATAACGCAAACTGCAAAAACTTTGATAAAACTTGGCGGGAAGAAATGGCTCCAAAGTTTACATAAAGATAACAATGTATCCTACAGTAAAGCAAGGGAAGAGTTAATTACGCTTCCAGGTGTTGGCCCGAAAGTTTCAGACTGTGTATGCTTGATGTCTTTGGGTCATTTGGAAGCTGTCCCAGTAGATACCCATATCAAACAAATCGCTATGGCGAATTATTTGCCTCATTTAAGGCAACAAAAATCGGTTAGCAACGAAGAAGTGGGTAATCATTTGCGAAAATTGTGGGGCCCGTTAGCTGGATGGGCACAGGCTGTAGTATTTTGTGCAAAAATTAACGACACAGATGCCCCCGTCGTGTTGAAGTCGAAACGCAAGGCGTATCCAAGGAAATCACCAAAGAAAAAGATTTGCATGTAGTTTAAGAATCGTTGTATATACTAAAATTATGCGCGAGATAAAATATGTTTTATCAATGTGATAAAGTATTATCTACTTACGTGATAGACCACTGTATCGATCTATGCGTTAAATCTACCCAAATATGCTACTATCTTTACATATAAAACATCTCGAAGAACTTTATTCCAACAGTTGCAACTTAAATAAGCTCGCATTCAGTATTTACATATGTTACATGTGCCTTACATATATGTCTGTAGTGAAAACATACAAAAAAATGTTGCATCGTTTTGTTGATTAAGGCTTGGTTAAGGCTTTTCTATTTCTTTTCCTACCAGCACCCACCAAAGCAAAGTCATACTCGTCGAGAAACCTCAGATCATAATCGTCGTCATAATCATCGTCACCTAAAGAGAAAAATTATGATATTAGTCGTGAATGTACATCGAAGCTCCTACTACCCTCGTATCAGGGTATACGCATAGATATACCCATAGATCCGAGCAATAGTAAAAGCTTGTATCAATTTTATGCATAACAAAATTATTTCCTTACTTATATCTGTTTCTAATATCTTTGCAAATATGCTGTCAAGAAGATAACGCAATCCGGGGAACATACTCAGCAAATACTCTCTTTGAGAAGGTTTTAACATAGACAAGCATTCCATCTGCAAAGAAGCAGGTACAGAACTGCAATATGCCAATCGCACCTTAGTATCTGCAGCCGTAGAGCACATCATGGGATACAACATCGTGTTCCTCAATCCAGTAAAAGCGATACCTAAAACATACCGCTGTAATTAGAGCAATCGCGCCAGTTTTTTTTTTGTGATAGTATCCATTCATGAAGCGCTAGCTCACCGAGGGATTTTCTGTTCAGGAAAAATTCCAAGGTACCCTTCCAGGTGTCCAAATGTACCCCGACTAAGCTGCCTTGACCAAAAGTAGATCCGTATTTCTTCTTCCAACCATCGTATTGTATATACCCTAAATAAGAAAAGCCGAAAGATTCCTGGTCCGACCCAAGAAGCGAACAGAATGTAGACTTACTGCCGTTCATATCGACTTTCTCTGTACCAACACCGATCATCTGAAAATAATGACGAAAGATAAGTTACACGTACGTTGCTGAGAATGTTGAACGCTCACATTGAATGCTCACAAGATCTGTTCCGTAAGTGGGTGTCAGTAATTTTACTTCCCAATAGTGATGTCTCCCTTTCTCCAACATTTTAGTACCCCTAATTGCTGATGTACCAAAACTGACACCATTATGAAACTGAACAATTAGATTTTGTTCTGATAAAACAATAGCAGACGCGGCGTTGTCTTTGTCCCATTCCCACTCGAACTCAGCGTCTACACAAAAATCATATCAATTTCCATCGGAACATGTACATAATATTTAATCGATGCGCATTGCGTCAACATAAAAATGATTCAAGGAAACAAAACGGAGAAACAGGTAAACATTGATATGTTATTTACGAAAGGAAGGAAGTAGAATGATTTTTACCATTGTCCTCTCCGCAACGACAATCTTCCGATAGGCAGTTACAAAATTTCGTGTGTTCCGATATATTTAAAGGTTTGAAATAGGTACAGCTAGAAAATCGAACATACATAACGAAAAGTATTTCCGCTGTTGTGCAGCGGCCCTTTCACGGTTAATTGTAATTTACTCTCCCCGATTTAAGTAATAACTGTCATTTTGCTACTGCCACCAGGCAAGACCGCTGTGCTTACATCAGCTTACACGCGGGAACATTATAATGTGTACATAGGATCGCGTGCGGTTGCACGAGCCAGCAAGGTGACAAAAGTCATCGCGGAAATTTGCATATGTGGCGTCCTGAGTAATTACATAATTGCCACCAAACTGATATTTCACTGTAGAGTAATTCGCGTTTACGTAAATCTGTACAGCAAATCACGATAAACCTTCTAAAGTAGTCGAGATTGAAACGGAAATATGCTTCGAATTCAACCGTGGCAGATCAAACAAATAAGACAATAATACTATCGGTTTTCTTTCCAAGTTACAGGATAAAATATAAAATAATTGAAAACTGCGCGAAAACAAAATTGGCTGCACGCTATTGGCCACTTTATATTGCGTAGTTCCGTGATTTAACCTCAAAGCATATATAGGTATACAGCAACCGTGCCTACCCCCTCCACACCCTCAGGCCGCAGCTTGGTCCGTTAGCGAGGGTGAAAATAAAAATTTTCTTCGCTCTGATTGGCTGACGATTCATCGCTGAGATAGAATCCATCGCGGATTGGATGTGTAGTGAAATGGCGCGCCACCTTAGGGAGTAAGAAAAGCGTGCAGGAATAGGTCCAATTACTGTGTATGCTCCAACGGTTTAAATATAAATCGAAGTCCCTTCAATTTTTTAAATATGTAATCAACTTTAAATGTGTACGATCATATAATTTGTTGTACTTCTTGTACGTTATTGTAATTATTTTCAAATTACAATCCAGCTATCAGCTATCTCGCCTCTGATTGGTCACTGTTTTTCGTAATAACTCGTTAATAACGAAGCCACGTATTGCAGTTTCGCTAAGGAAAAAATTGCTTCAAACGACCTCACGAATCCCCTACTTTCGGATTGCGAGACATTTCTGGGACACCCTGTAGAATCCTACGGGGCGAGAAATACAAGTCGAATATCGCGCCACGTGTTCCAGATGGAGCGTCAGGCGTACGGATGCGCGAAAAGAGCGAGACCGCAAGCACGGTAAAGTGAGACGGCCTGGATGTCTCGTCCGTGTGGACGCACACATAGAGGCTCGCTGGTCGTTCTGTGTCTCCCTCTCTCTCGATCATCTCCCGTTCTCCTTCCAAAGCAACTGCGCGGGCCTGGATGCGCATTAAAATGGTGGGGATAAAAATGGTGAAACAGAATCGCTTGCTATGGATAATCAGGCATTCCAGATAATTGAAATTCTGCTATAATTGTATTTCTAATGATTATTTCGTCTTTACTTGCTTACGTTTTAGTGTACGCACGTATTTGTACGAATTATGTATATTCTATTTGCACTTTATATTGCGCAGTATATTAACTATGCAGACCCGTATCCAATACGCGTGCGTAAATATTTAAAAAAAATTACGCAATTAAGGTTAAGCTTTCCCAAAAGTAACTCTTAGGTCGGAGAAAACCGTTTATGTAGATTACTCTTTCTATTTATTATCGTATCGTAATCTTTTATTTTGTGTAATAATTTGATCGTATCACATTGATATTAATTTGGATAGCGTAATAAACACGTTTATCAGCATTTATAACCGAACGAATGACATCGGACAAGTTTCGTTTACTTACAGTGCTTACAGTCAATAGCGATTTGTACAGTTGAAAGATCAACGGATCGACATATGCGTCCAAGTTAATTCGAAAAACTTTCGTCGAAACTTTTTGCGCTTTAAACCATGGGCATACCAAATGCACGGCCGATGATTACTCATGGGTAGTGCCTAGCGCCTGGGTGCCAATTTTTCACGAGTGTTCGCAACATGAGAAGAAAGATATGTGTCTTCAGTGTTTAATTTAAGGAAAAATTGACATTTCGGACAGTTTGCGAAAGAAAAGCTTATAAAAATGTAAAGATTAAGGATCGACTGAAAAACACGTTGAGCACATTGAAACCAATGAGACATTGGTAGAGCCGCGCCGATATAGGTTACGAATCCTTCCTAAACGTCGGAGATCTATCGATTTGACGTTCGACCCGCCGCTGTCGTTATGTTGTCCCGTAAAAATAAAGATCTTCGGACGATCAAGGAAGGAGTCGTCGGGAAATATGTTAAGAAGGAAACGCCGCCCGAAATGCCTAGTAAGTTGTTTTTATTTTCGTTGCGAACGTTTGTCGGTGAATCGTGTAACTTTTCTATAGCGTGACAGTGTTTTGTAATCCGGTTTCCTTCTTCAAAATATTTTGCGTTTCTAGTCATTAATGTATGGACTACAGAGCCCAACAGAAGAACGAGGAATCGTAACAATCATCCAACTATCCCTACGTCTATGGTAAATAGCAATCACGCGTATGAATTTTTCTAGGGAAATAAACGTTCATTTTTGTGTAGTCCACCCCACAACAGCCCATTATGATACAAAAGTTTGGAAACACTAAAACAACAATGAGCGCTGTAGGCTTAGGTAGTCACGAGGGAAAGTATACGCCGAATAGTTCTGTTCCGGATCTGGCGCAAAGGTAGTTTCGTATAATATACGCGCGTACGTATAGTGCATCGAGAAGAACTTTCAAATTAATTTTCATTTATCTAGATTTGCTAGTTTGTCTGTTAATACAAGCACAAGGGACGGATTACCATCTCGTACTGCTACTCCGATGTATCATTCTGGACTGTCGCCTGCTATGTCGCATACATACGTGAATCAGTATGCAGGATCGGAGTACCATTTGGACAGAGTTCAAACACCGCAGATGCCTTACAAGTCGCTTGACATCGATTCTGGTTACGAGGAGTACAATCAGTCTGTGTACAGACAGAATACGGGGTATAACAATGATAGTGTACTCGACCGATTTACAACGATGAAAAATATATAGGTGTTTTACTGTATTTCTAAGATATAGTCGATGCCATTCGGAGAGATCAAGTTCTAGAAATGAACAGCAGGAGGAACTTCCACTGCCGCCCGGATGGTCCGTCGATTTTACTCTCAGGGGTAGAAAATATTATATAGATCACAACACGAAAACCACTCATTGGTCTCATCCTCTTGAGAAAGAAGGTTTGCCCACGGGTTGGGAAAGAATAGAGTCACCCGAATATGGCGTTTATTATGTTAAGTGAGTACAACGGAGGGTTCGCGCTTGAGCCATTGAAAAATTTTAGTTTAAATAGAGCTCTTACTACGCGGTTGTTCGTATCATAACAAACTATTATAGAGGTGTACCATTTATTTTCAGTCATATCACGCGACAGGCGCAATATGAACACCCGTGTTACCCCCATGAGATACAAGCAGTTCGCGTAGTGTCACCGCCACGCCATACACATTTTCATTCCCATAGCGTCTTGGTCCCAGCCAATCCCTACTTGAACGAAGAAATACCTCACTGGTTGTATGTATATAGTAGAGCTTCGGTGGCGTTAGACCGTAAATTAAGGTGGGAACTCTTTCGTTTACCCGAACTTGACTGTTTCAATGCCATGCTTACAAGATTGTATAAACAAGAGTTAGAGGAAGTTGTTATGCGTTACGAGGAGTACAGGTTTGTTCGAACACTTATTTCACACTGTAACGACACATCGGCAAAGCGTACGGTGGTCTCTAATATTGTTGATTTAGGTCAGCCTTATTGTGCGAGATGGAGCAAAGACTAAAAGAATTAAATCCGGAAACCTCCAGTTCCTCGTCCGGAGCAATTGCACTACGACAATCTCTCTCATGATCGAAACTGAAACGGGAGAATGTTGAAAAACGTTATCTTTCACGGATCAAGAGTTCCTGTAAGCGATCGAAAGAAATTGACCAGGACACTATTACACTTATATCTACGAGTAGCATAAACATAGTTAAATTTTATTTTTTTTAATCTATTTTATAAATTATCATTCAATAAACTTCATCCAAGAAATTTTCTATGAGACCAGCCCACTACTTTCTCATCCTTTGTTTCTTCTTCCTCTGTTTTGGGTATGGTATCATCTTTCACCGTAGTGAATCCATGAAAAACTATACTTCTGATATTATCATTCTTTTTCTTATGATAGTTCATTAAAGCAGCTTCTGCAAAATGCATAATTTTTATATAACACGATAATTCTGAGAGACGGTCAGGTGTAGATCCAGAAGTAAAACATACTTTGGTCTTCGGTGGTTACATAGTTTTTTTCTACGCACATCTGATAATAAGCATAGAGAACAGTATTCCACGCAAGGAAAGCGTAAACGAGAGATAGAAATCTTTTATGATTTTTATTTTCTCGCATTCTTTTACTCCATAACCATTTCATGAAATCGGAGAAACCCATTTCACGGCTTTACAATAATACAAATTTAAGTTTAGGAAATAATCGCTGACAGAACGAGATATCTGAACAGAAAGATTGATCAGCGATGTTTTAGGAATTTTTATTAGAGTGCACAAAATTCATACACGTTGAATAGCGCACTGATCACCGATGGGTGGTACACTTCTGCTGTATTTTATATTATGTAGTACAGCACATGGTACACTGGTCACTATCTCAATAATAACATAACCTACAATATGTAGCATTAATGTTAGTATAACATCGTGAATGGAAAGCAAATGAGAGTAACTTTTACTTAAAAATGTTAATCGATGATGAAATTACACCAGCTTACATCAACTGTTCGACAACTATGATTGCATAACGTGCTTTCTTCAAGAAAACATACTTATCGTTCCTTTCAGCGAAATCATATTAATCATACGTCACGTCGTTCTCTGTTAATCGTTTCTGAGAATATACATTTGTAAGGAAAATCTAAAAAATAATTATTTTAAATCAGATCGAAGACAAATCATTTTTACGGAAGGTAAACGGTGACGCCAACTGTAGCACAATGTCCAAACTATACTTAACCAACTTGTTTCAGGCCATTTCATGCCAGATGACAGAACTGTCAATTTCTTTTGAAAAATTTCATAAGCACTTTTAAATAATAAGGAATATAATTCAAAATGCTGAGAAAACATCGAATAGAACAATTCGACAGTATTTATTTTATTAGTTTGCTGTTGCCAGTTTGCCCTCTGTTGCGATATGATCGAAACTACTATATAATCGGTAAATCGGCAAACAACTTGGACATTTTGTTGTAGGTAAAAAAAAAGTTGTTGTAAATAAAAAAAAACATATGACATACGTATATGTATTTTTTGTTAGAAAGGTAACATGTGACATTAATTAAAACTACTGTCTTTTATCCAACGATTCGCGCCGTTCATCTTTTACAAATAATAAATGTTTAACAAACGTAGAACAGGAAATTTATTCTAAATCGGAACGAACAACGCGAAAGCTAAAATTATATAATTCTCTTGACGGTAGATTAGACTCATCACTATGATTGACAAATGTTGGAAAAGAAAAACAAGATATAAATATATATAAAGGCATAAATATGGTAATTCAGATAAACCGAATCGCTGGTAGAATTATACGATAATTGATGAGACATCGTTAGAACACCGATACACATGCATAATGCCCCCTTGCCACTATGTTATGTTAAAATGATGCTAATTTCTTTGTAGAACGTTATACAATTCAAAAGCCGTTTATCATTGCGCCACTAACGACAACAACAAATAAAAATCCACGTTTCCAGTTTTCCAAGACCGCTTAATAATGTCTCAGCAGAGAACAACATGTTGCGCAACGGATAAATTAAAATAGTCAACGATAATGGAATCGTGTGAGACTTTGTTGCGACGAACGAGGAAAAATACGGAACCATTCCACGGTCGTTAGTACGATGTTTATGTTTTCGCGTTATCACAAAAATCGGGCATGTCGGGAACTCCCTGTTTTTTCGTAGATCGAAAACAAGATGGACGTGCCGAATCTTTCGTAACATCTGGGACGTTCGTTAGCACGGGAGAGCGAGGCGCGTTTGCGTGGTTAAGGTCGCCGGGCTGGATTAGCAAAAATTCGCGAACACATAAACAGGAGATATTGTTCGTATCGTACAGCACTGGCTCCTATCGGAAAGCGAACGGTGATTGGTCGCGCGGACCCCGGAGTAGAATGAGGCATTGGAACGGGACGTCTGGCAATCGAATAAAAGGGAAGGGAGGAGTGATTTCGCGCGTTGAACGGATTCCGAATAATTTCGAAGAGGTTCGCGAGCCGCAGCTTGGTCGTGGCCGATTGATCGAGCACAGAAACGAGCAGACGAGTCCGTCCGTGAAGGCTTGACGAGATGTCCGTGATGGGAAAGGTACGAGTCGATTAATACCGTTAAAAATCGTTGGATGCCGACATCCTTGCCGGGGGGATCTCTCGCTCTCTCTTGCCGCTGGTTTCCCTTTGCCGGCGAGACCATTTCTCGTTCCATCAATGTCCCTGCGCTTCTCGCGATTCGTCCGATTCTACGTACCTGTTCCGGATTATGCCCGTTCGTCGTTCCTCGCGGTCGTCGTTCCTGGCGACTATCGGATCGAGCCATTCGGTTCCACCGGCCTCGGGCTAACCGGCGACAGCTTTGTCAAAGCACCGTGCGGAGCCGGTAAACATCGCTAACATTTCTATTTCCGGATTATTTACCACTTTGCTTGTTTCGTTCCGCAGGCGGTTCTATACTCCTATTGGCGGAGCTCTTGTTCTTGGAGAGTGCGAATCGGTAAGTAAAAAATAGCGTACGTTGATCTCGATTCTGTTTTTCGAAAACAGAACAAAACAGTGTTTTTGTTTCTTTTTGTCTCGTTGACGTCGATGTCGCTGTTGAAGTTTTCTCGCGCGTTTAGGAAGACTGCTCTATTTCACTCGGTGTCAAGAGGGTAAATTGTAAATTACGAGAATTAGAAATTATTCTGCAGTAAATATGTTTGCGCGCGCGCGCGCGCGTGCGTGTGTGTGTGTGTGTGTGTACGATGATGACAACTTAATAGTGTTTTTACGCAGCCCTAAACTTGAAGGAAATTCCATACGATATAAAACCGGTGAGCCTGATCAAGAACGGAGGAGAACAACATTCCAATGAGTTCCGCGAGATCAATCCGATGGAGCAGGTGCCCGCACTTCACATCGACAATCACACCCTAATAGAGTCTGTAAGTGTCTCGGGGTTGTACGGCGATCGTTTGGCCTGGTAGTCCAAGCTCTGATTCAATGCGATTAAAAACCTGTTCGTTACAGCTGAATATCTTGCAATATCTGGAAGAAACCAGGCCACACCGACCTTTGATGCCTGCGGATCCGGTGAAAAGAGCCAGAGTCAGAGAGATTTGCGAGGTTTTAGCCAGCGGTATTCAACCACTGCAGAATTTGATCGTGCTGATCTACGTTGGGGAAGAACGTAAGAAGGAATGGGCACAGCACTGGATTACCAGAGGGTTTACAGGTAATGAGCAACACAAACGAACAACAGAAAGTGTATAGCAGCTCCGGAATTACCAATATTATGCTGTTACAGCTGTGGAAAAGTTACTGTCGTCGAGTGCAGGAAAGTATTGCGTGGGTGACGAAATCACACTTGCAGACTGTTGCCTGATACCACAAATATTCAACGCGAGGAGGTTTCTCGTCGATCTGAGACCTTTCCCGACAATTTTAAGGGTAGACCGTCATTTAGAGAATCATCCAGCCTTTACTGCCGCTCACCCAAATAATCAGCCTGATTGTCCTCCAGAGGCGACCAAGTAGCAAGCAAGGCAGACCACTCTCTTCCTCTTCTAAATTTTTTAGAATTGGCGGGGTACAGTGGTCTATGTTTGATAGTTCTATAGTGACAAAAGGTGGTGCAATTTGATTTTTTATTGAAAATAATAACGTGTAACATTATGTTGGAGGTCGACGACGACCAGCGTCGACGTTTTTTTTGTAAAATTGAGGTGCAACCTTTTAATAACCGCATTTTAATATCATTCGAGCGATCAATGAAATTGTTGTCCGACATGCATCACGATATTTGAAATATTCGACCGGGATTGTCTGTTTGTTCGTTTGTAGTAGAACGGATCGTACACCTTTTATCACTTGCGAACTACATTTAGGTACGAAAATGGCGAACAGCGGGGAGCAGAGTGTGTACTTGCGACTCTCTATAATTAACTTTCAATTATGAAATAAAACACAGCGAGAGAGAGAGGAGAGGAGAACGCTGCGCCATTTCCGTTACTTAAACTCAGACGATAGGAATGTTGGCCTATTTTTAATTTTCTTTTTTGTTATGTTTTTCCATTGGTTCGTACGCACAATCAAAATTACCAAGAGAATTCGTCTTCTTCGTACCGGTACTTAACGCGATTACTTTTGTAAAGTGTATCGACCTATTCTAAATAGGTTCTGTTGTCTGAAATCAAAAGTTTACTTTTTATACTTACGATAATATAATTTTTCGAATTACTTTTAGCTTACATAGACTAAGGAGAGAAGAAGTGTTGTTATTAAAATAATATTAGATAATAACTGGACATTCATTGTCGAGGTGTACAACAGATGTAAGCAGATCTGAACATCGCGAAACAAGAAAGAGAGAGAAACAAAAAAAAAGAAAGAAAAAAGAAAAAAAGAAATATAAAGGAAAGAGGAAACGTGCAAATAAGGGAACGCAATCTGCTCAAGCTCCATACAAGATACCGAGGAATGAAAAGTACAAATGAAATTCCTTTTCTAAAGCTTCTATTATATCCGTTCGGTACGTTTCGTTTCTCCCTGGGGAAATTCTGTCGAGGTCCACGAGTAAAGCGTTACCGGGGATTACTAGACACGACATAACCTTCGATCGTCACGAGTATTTTTTAGCTTGAGAAGGATAGCTCGAAGGTGTGCTCGACGTTGATGCCCGATTCCAAAGCTTGCGCTATAGTCTGTTAATCGGCTTTTTGATCGCTTCGCCATCATTCCCCCACTTGTTTCTCGAGAATTTCTTTGAAAGCGAGACTGACGAAAAAAAAAATAAACTGATTAACAGTTTAATAGAGCGCGACGAATAAGAAGAAGGATCTGGGGAAGCTACGATTAAAGCTCGTACTCTGAAAAGTTTTCCGAATGTATTCGTTCTTTCGATCTTGAGCACACTTTCCGGTTCTTTCCGCCGTATTTTGTTTCGCGAGACATAATCTTACGTAGAGATACATTCTCCTGTCGTATCGCCTGTAATTGTATAACGTCTATATATATTTTGTAGTTTTATACACGGAAAACTGAATACGTTTTACGCGCGACAAAAGACGTCCGTACCAAACATTGTCAAACTATCCGATCTCGATTTTGACATTGTTCCTTATTGCCGGGTTCCTTATTGCCATAAACTTCCCGCGAATCTGAACACTCGGCTCGTCGATCCGTCGACCTGTTAACCGGCTGGCCAGAATCATTTTTCATAGTACATAATAATACAATCGTGTGTGTGCTCGCGTCGTCGACTGGTACATACATACATACATGCATACATACATACATACATACATACATACATACATATATACATACATACTTCCTGTGTAAAAAGAAAAAGACTCGGCTTGCGTGCTAGACTGCGGGTCCTTCTGTGAACTGATATTTTTGTAAACGAAATTCATCGACTCTCTCTCTGTTCTTACTATTATACATTTTATCGTGTCATGACGATAGGAACGTAAGAGAATTTGTTTGTAAACGCCGCCGCGCGACCGAAATCCACAGTCTAGCAAAGCTGCAGACGTTAATAATGGACAATAGGAGAATCATCGCCGGTTAACAGGCGAAAGAACAGCACGGTGGCCAGCCTATAAACGAGCGGTTCACCGTGTAGAGAGGCTCGCGTCCTTCGAATTGGTATTTTCTGCGACACGGCCGTTATGAATTACTTAAGAGAAAATACCGTACCGTATAGTATATATAGATGATAGGGTGGCGGAGGGGTATTTGTTTGCATGCTTCTTCGACTAGGCGGCTAGGAATTGTTATAATTTATATACTATAATACTATAACGACGAGGACAAATGACAGAGAGTTATACATTTCATACGTAGACGTGTGTGCATCGNTACATTCTCCTGTCGTATCGCCTGTAATTGTATAACGTCTATATATATTTTGTAGTTTTATACACGGAAAACTGAATACGTTTTACGCGCGACAAAAGACGTCCGTACCAAACATTGTCAAACTATCCGATCTCGATTTTGACATTGTTCCTTATTGCCGGGTTCCTTATTGCCATAAACTTCCCGCGAATCTGAACACTCGGCTCGTCGATCCGTCGACCTGTTAACCGGCTGGCCAGAATCATTTTTCATAGTACATAATAATACAATCGTGTGTGTGCTCGCGTCGTCGACTGGTACATACATACATACATGCATACATACATACATACATACATACATACATACATATATACATACATACTTCCTGTGTAAAAAGAAAAAGACTCGGCTTGCGTGCTAGACTGCGGGTCCTTCTGTGAACTGATATTTTTGTAAACGAAATTCATCGACTCTCTCTCTGTTCTTACTATTATACATTTTATCGTGTCATGACGATAGGAACGTAAGAGAATTTGTTTGTAAACGCCGCCGCGCGACCGAAATCCACAGTCTAGCAAAGCTGCAGACGTTAATAATGGACAATAGGAGAATCATCGCCGGTTAACAGGCGAAAGAACAGCACGGTGGCCAGCCTATAAACGAGCGGTTCACCGTGTAGAGAGGCTCGCGTCCTTCGAATTGGTATTTTCTGCGACACGGCCGTTATGAATTACTTAAGAGAAAATACCGTACCGTATAGTATATATAGATGATAGGGTGGCGGAGGGGTATTTGTTTGCATGCTTCTTCGACTAGGCGGCTAGGAATTGTTATAATTTATATACTATAATACTATAACGACGAGGACAAATGACAGAGAGTTATACATTTCATACGTAGACGTGTGTGCATCGTACAAGTGGGCGACTAGATAATAATGTATATATAATTTTTATACAAGACGTTCGAACGACACCGAATGTGTTGCATGCAGAGAGAGAAAGACACGGGCCGACCCCGTGAACTACACTACTACTTCGACAGCATCATCATCTCGCGCGTCATACATAGAGCGAGATCTCTCCGTAGCGTCGCGCCACTGCTCGGAAATCATGCGACGCTAACGAGGGAAAAGTGTACATGGAAACAAACAAGAATACGAAATACTGTACACGATTTCCGATCCGGGCGAAGATCCGTCGAATCTTTCTTTCCGAAACGTGTCGAGGGACGATCGCTGTGTTCTTCCTCCGTAACGTCGCGTTCGAATTCCCGCCACTCGGTATCGCAACCGGTCGCTAGACAACGGCGAATCGTCGGCTAACGAAAACGAATGTATACTTTTACTGTTCCCGAGGATGATCGGAGTCGCGCGACGCTACGGAGGTAAATGCCGTACGATAGAGTTTAAATAGAGGGGGCTACAGAAAGGGATGCAAACAAGTGACACCCTTCGATCGTAATCGCACAAAGGATTCGTGTTCGATTCCGTTCGACGGCGCGGCCGGAGAAATGCCCCCGCCCCCGGTTTCTTCCCGGGTCACGTGATAATGTACAGGGTGTCCGAAAAATGTCTAGTAGGGGATTCCCGAGGTGATTCGAAGCAACTTTTTCCTTAGCGAAAATGCGATCCGCGGAGTCGTTTACGAGTTATTAACGAGAAACAGTGGCCAATTAGAGGCGAGATCATTCGGCGCGAGACGGCCGAGCCAGTGAGCGGAACCGGGCTCCGCGCGCTCGTTGGCTGGGTCGCCGCGCGCCAGCCGAGCTCGCCTCTTATTGGTCGGTGTTTCTTCGTTGATAACTCGTGAACGAAGCGTCGGAGAATATTTTCGCAAAGGAAAAAGTTGCTTCGAACGACCTCGGGAACCTCCCATTTCCGGATTGCGAGACATTTTCGGGACACCCTGTATTTGTTGAACTCTCTTAATAGTACCGAGCAAAACGAGAAATGGACAATTCTCAGGGAACGATTTATCGGTTCAAGGGAGATCACGAGCGACGCCTAACGAGGTCTCGCAGCTCCGCGAGCGAGAGGTTAGACGCGATCGCGTCCGAGAACAATTCTCCATTTCTCTGCGCGCCGTTTTTCTTCGCCATTGGCACATGTTCGAACGGGGCGAATTTTTGGGGCTGGCTGTACAACGAGGTAGCCGAGCGAGGCCTCAATGAGTGAATCAAACCTTCTTATTTGACATGTTTCCCGAGAACTGTCCAACAGTGAATTTTTGATCGTGGTCCTGCTTCTACTTTGCTGTATCGCTGCCCCCAAATGTACAGGGTGGGACACGTAAACGGGAACATCGCAGCAACTTTGTTTCTTTTTTCTCCATAGAATGGATCTTTTAACGTTTTATAACACGTTGAACGCCACGTCACCCATATCCGGGTGACGGCTATGTTTTTGCAGTCTTATACTAACAAATTATACTTATATTTAAATTTGTTTCTATAATATTATAATATTTTATTAGTTACGATGGAATTCGTTGAAACATTGTAAACATAATAATTAGAGTGACTTTGGACACTCGGGACAATACGTTATATTTGAATTTTATATATATAATAATAACATATAATATAATAATATATATTATTATAATTATTTTAATTATTATTAATTATATCATATATTATTATATATATTATTATATAATATAATAATAATAATATATATAAATTCACATATATAATTTATGCTGGGCGTTCAACGTGTTAATATTATTATTAAATTTTTATATAACATTTTTAACGAATTTATTATGATATTTTTAGCGACGTACGGCAAAGAAGCTGAGAAAGATCGCATTCTTAAGAGACGAAATCAATTGTTGGAAGCACGTACGGTTCCGGCTGAACGATTCTTTGCGAATGAGAATAACGAAAGGAAAGGTTATCTTTCGAGGTTTCTGTTTACCGCGGCTGGGATCGGCGCGACGCATTTTTAGGTGTTCCTGGTTAAGTGACCCATTTTGTTGCGACACGCGCGCGCGCGAATTACCGTCATACCGGTTATGTAGCGTGCGTGTGTGTTTCTGGCACACCGAGTCGACGAGAACAGAGAATCGAACGACATTGATTTCTTGCATAGGTCCGGCCACGCTATTATGGACAACACGGAGAGGACAACCCATTTGTTAGAAATGTTCGTTTCGACGACGATGACGACGACGACGGTCCTAAGTAGAGTTTATAGTTAGGTAGTGGCGCGTACCGTTTGTAAAATCCATCGATATTAATACTGGAAAACAGCAAGAAAAAAGAAAAAAAAACGAAGAAAAATAACACGACACGTCCTGACGAGGACACGATCGTCGGGAAAATAAACAGAAAACACAGACCGGGTACGATATTAAAATGCGCATAGATATTTTGTAAGTGAAAGAAAAAAAAATACATATTTGAATTATGTACGTTCGCTGCTTACGAGGAATAATAAATTCTGTGTCATAGTGTATATGGGTGCTGATATTAATTTCGTGGAGCGTGAAACACGTTGGGCCGTGTATGTGTGTGTGCGTCTTTGTGTTTGTCGATGCGCAGTTATCGGCTCGACGGCAGTCGACAGCGGCCGGTGTTGCCGGTCTTTATCAGCGGCAGATCGTAACCGGTTTCAACCGAACGAGGCACAATGAATGCTTGAAACGCAATTTCACGACGACATTCCTTTTTTTTTCCACGCTGAATCGATCGTAGAAAAAGTGAGCCTCCGGGAGTACACGGGACACGGATACTTGTTACAGTGACTGTACGGAAACGGTTTCGTTAAAAACAGTTTTTCTTCGCCACTTCTTTCCGAGTACTTTTTGCACACTCTTTTATTAAGCTTAAGAAGAATATATATATTCTTAAGCTTAATAAAAGAGTGTCCCAATTACAGGGTGTCCCAAAAATGTCTCGCAATCCGGAAATGAGGGATTCCCGAGGTAATTTCAAGTAACTGTTTCGTTAGCGAAAATGCAATCCGTCGCACCGTTTACGAGTTATTAACGAAAAACGCTGACCAATCGGAGAGCGACTGCGGCCGGCGCCTCGCCCTTGCGGCCAATGCCGCGTAGCGCCGGCCAGCCGACGCAGCGGCAGTGGTCGCGAGGGCGGGGCGTCAGCGGTCTCTCGTTGGTCAGCGTTCTTCGCGAATAACTCGCGAACGGTGCCTCGCAGAACATTTTTGCAATGGAGAAAGTTGCTT